TTTTCTGAATATTTTCAGAGTTGTGTGATTGGGAGAAACGAAAAGAAGCTGGTTTTCTGGAAGAGTCATGTACCTGAGTTTTTTATTAAAATATTTCATAATTCTAAGAACTGGCAATGTTACACAATCTGTCAAATGTATCACATGATCTTTCCACCTCATCCATGTGCCACCCACATCACACAAGCTACCCACCCCAATGTAGCCTCGATCCCACCCCATCCCGGGCAAACTGACCCAGGCCATCCCCATCTCATCCATGTGCCACCCACATCACACCAGTTACCCACCCCAATGTAGCCTCCATCCCACCCCATCCCGAGCAAACTGACCCACGCCACCTCATCATGCGCCACCCACATCACACCAGCTACCCACCCCAATGTAGCCTCCATCCCACCCCATCCCAGTCAAACTGACCTAGCCATCCCCATCTCAACAATGTCCCTAAACGAACCCCTTGAGTCCGACCCACCCACATCCCATCCAAAACCATTCCCTAGAGTCTGAACCACCCACCCACATCCCATCCAAAACCATTCCCTACAGTCCAACCCATCCCATCCACATCCCACCTATCCACCCACCCAGATCTCATCCCAAACCATCCCCTACAGTCCAACCCAACCCATCCACATCCCACCTATCCACCCCCCCAGATCTCATCCCAAACCATCCCCTACAGTCCAACCCATCCCATCCACATCCCTGTCCCGACTATGTACAGCAGTCATTGCGTACACTCAGTGATGTGGGCTATCCCAGCAGTTACACCTATATCCTGCTACATGCCTGCTGCCGAGACTATCTCACATGAAAAACAACATCAGATTGTCATATCCATACAACTTTAAAAAAAAATATTTAAAAAAACACAACTTCTTAAGTCCAAAATGTCCACACCACTTCACACAGTTAGCCACAATCGATACATCAGCATCTACAGTCTGTGAAGCCTGATGAAGGAAGCCACGCTGAGCCCCACTGGACAAGACGGTCCACTCTGTTCCACACCATCAAGCGGCCTCTGATTGGAACTAAAGCCTTTTTAGTCGTGTAGGAAGCTTCCTATGGGCTAATTATTGGGGTTAATCTTCTGGATCTACGAAGAAGCCATAACACCAGCATCCACTGTGATGAACACTATTATTTTATATCAATACACCATCTTCCCGAGGCAAGGGAGTTAACTGACTATGAAAGTCCAGTTTCCACACTTGTTGAACTAGGTTGGAATTATGGAGTTATGTCTTGGCTGGACTACCATGTCTAGTCCAATAAAAATCATGGAGCGAAATCAACATCCGGTTGGGAAACTGTCCTGCAGATTATGGTCGATTGCAGGATTTGCAAAGCATGTGTACCCAATACTTAGCGTCAACAGATATTTGCCAAATCATTACATGTTTTCAATGAAGGTGCTCACGTGATTTTATGCACTTCATGAAGTAAGACCCATTTTATTACAATGTAGATCTTGATCATCTATCAGATCGTCCTCACTGGGTGGCGCCATAATATTTGAAGCAAATGCAAGTGATATGAGGTGGAATCTGATTAGTCAATAGGAGGGACATAGAAGGGACATAACTCACATAGCCACTGGTGGCGCTACGATTGAGCCAAGAAATTCCAGCCGAGTTCGGCAAGGGTGGAAACTGGACTTTTACAGTCGACTAACAGGATCGGGTGGTCAGGCTGGCTGACTTGGTTTGATGCATGTCATCGTATCCCAATTGCGTGGATCGATGCTCATGATGTCAATCACTGGATTGTCTGGTCCAGACTCGATTATTTACAGACCGCCGTCATATAGCTGGTATATTGCTGAGTGAGGCGTTAAACAACAAATAAACAAACAAAATATGTATTAGTTACCGGTCCGTCTGGCTTGTTGGATGTAAGAAATGTTTCAGACACTAGTCTGTGTCCAGCATTTTCTTGCGCTGGCGGCTATAAGGATATGTGCTACAGCGAAGATATAAAACCAATCGGAACACTGTGTCCGCAAACTGATGACAGAGAGCACAACACTGTCACCAATCAATGCCCTTCATGGCTGTTTCTTTAAGTTGAGTCACATATTACCATTGCATGGTTAAATCATGTAAGGAGATGATATTAATAAAGTATGAGTCACTGATAGCTACTCACACTTAAACCATGGTTGTTTTGTCTTTGATCGTGGTCCAACTAACTGGATTGTTAGTAAACACCACTTGGCAATGACAGAACTTCTTTTTTCCTCTATCTTTTGTCTTGATGATAGAACAATTTCATGAAAAACGTTTGTCCCCAGCGAGATTTAAACCCGAGAAGTCCGCACTGAAGGCTAACGAATGTAGTCTTCTGCCACGGCGAGATGGTATGAAATTGACAACTAAATATTTACTTACATTAGTACCAATTGCTTATCCCTTTATGAATTGCGAAATGTGTTTTATGCAATTTTTATATGGTATGTTACTCTATGCATTCTAGTATTTGTACAGTACTTGTGATTTTGTAGCTTTTCGTTCAACGAAACGAACAGACAGAAAAGAAATTACTATTATCTTGATCAGGGCTATATTTGCTCATTATAGGCCCATCAACAAGTGATATTTTGTTGATTGATAAATGTGCTTGAGTTGGTCCAAAATGAATGGTATACTTGCCCCGGGACATGCATTTCATAACCCAAATCGGCAAAGTGCAAGGTGCACATGCAAAAGGCTCGGGAAACAATTTCACGTACTTCACGCAGGGCCGACTAACACAGTGTTCTCACAGTTGAGCATAGAGTTCCTGAATATCTTTCAAAATACTTTAAACAAAACAATGTTTTTTAAGCAATTTAGGTGCCATAAATGATCGACATGGTTTAAGTATGTTAGACCACTCAGACCCCAGTGTCAAATCGTTGAAATGGTTGATTTAACCATTTCAATGTTGAGATTAGACACTGGGTCCTCTTGGTCTAACCTACACATATATCATGCTTATATTCTCACACATGCATACAAGTCTAATATACCTGTACCAAATGTGCATGGAACTTTCAAGTTACAATGATAAGTATATTTTTTCTAAGGCTAAAAAAAATAATAGCATTGGTTCTCAGGCAATGTGCACATCATCATAAAGTTCATAGCACGTTTCGTCTTTGTTTTGATTTTCGATTTTTTTGTGCATTGTGTTTAAGTATTAGGATTTTTATATTTTTTGGAAAATGGAAATAAAAACAAAACGTGCGGCAGACTTTATGATGATGCGGGTGGTACCAAGACTATTATTATTTTTAGCCTAAGTACTATACGTTTAACAATTTCAGGATTGATCAGACTGGATAAATTGATACTTATAGTCCCTTGCATCAGAAACTTTTTGCCTACAAGCCACAAGTGTAAGTCAATGTTAGTGGTACAGGGGTGTCAAACAACAGTCTTCGCTCTAAGATAATCCTGTCCAAGCAAACCCTGACTTAGAAACTGGCATAAGCCTGATCCAAAATCGTTGATGGTAAAGCTCATAAAACCCAAGTAATTGCTAGATATTGGAGGTTTTCCTACATGTCATTACAAGGACTACAGTGCCTGAAGCAGCAAGGTGCTACATCTGATAAGCACAACCCCAATTGAGAAGTGTCAAGAACTGACGTTCTAAGGGAGACAACTCCATAATATCCCACCAGTGGACAACCACCTGTAAACCATCAGTCAATAGTTGGCTCAAACACTGAAGACAGGATGTAGTCATCATCATCATCATCATCATCATCATCATCATCACATCCCGTGTTTTTGATAGATCTCTTCATCTCAACAGAATACCCTTATCCACCCGTCCTGTGAGCACAAATCACACTTGCACACCCTCACTCTCTGGACAGGTTCAAATATATAGAGGTAAGCACGCAAGTGTGCTTGGAATGGTAAATATCCTGTATTTGCAAAAAACTGTGCATTAAGTGAGCCTTAGCAATGGTCAATTCTGACTCGATAGCCAATACACAAGGGCAACAATATGTTTGTTTATCAACACTGAAAGTAGGACCAACCTGACTTTTTTAACTTGCATTATTATCCATATAACCCCAATGGATACCGTTCTTATCTGTTGACTTTACCCAGCCAAGAAACTGACCCATTATATGAAAAACAATTTTCCCTAACCTGAAAGTTATGGAAAAGCTAGTCACCAGCAGCAGCATCTATGATCAAGGATGCTCAGGTTGTGAAACTTGGTGCTGTGTCATGTTGAAACAGGCACTATTACTTGGACACAAGCACCATGGTCTGTGTAATTATTACCTGTGGGAAACTGACACATGGTTTCTGTGTAATTATTACCTGTGGGAAACTGACACATGGTTTCTGTGATATTATTACCTGTGGGAAACTGACACGTGGTTTCTGTGTAATTATTACCTGTGGGAAACTGACACGTGGTTTCTGCGTAATTATTACCTGTGGGAAACTGACACGTGGTTTCTGTGTAATTATTACCTGTGGGAAACTGACATGTGGTTTCTGTGTAATTATTACCTGTGGGAAACTGACATGTGGTTTCTGTGTAATTATAACCTGTGGGAAACTGACACATGGTTTCTATGTAATTATTACCTGTGGGAAACTGACACATGGTTTCTGTGTAATTATTACCTGTGGGAAACTGACACATGGTTTCTGTGTAATTATTACCTGTGGGAAACTGACACGTGGTTTCTGTGTAATTAAAACCTGTGGGAAACTGACATGCAGTCTCTGTGTAATTATTACTTGTGGGAAACTGACACATGGTCTCTGTGTAATTACTACCTGTGAGAAACTGACACATGGTCTACCTGTCATTAGGGTATTCAATAACTGCTTCATTGATATACATCATTAGCACACAAAGTGATGTCTGACTAATGAGAATCAAACTTGCTACAACTGCAAATCTGCAACAGGTAATAATCTGGAACTCAATACAATAACTAATCATCAGAAAGCGGTTCAAAGCGTAAATAGACTTACTTGTCCTCTCCCAGAACCACTCCGAAGCCAACATGTTCCACCCTATGCCTGGAGGGGTCCAGCCATCCGATCTGCTTGGCAGCGCTGTAGATGGTCTCCAGATGGGAACTCTGACAAGCAAGAGGAGATCATGATACATGATGTTTGTCCCATGTTCACAGCAAAAAATAAACATCTCATGTCCGACTGTGCCTCTCACCTGCCCTGAATCCACCACATAGATGAACCAGTCCCCACTCTCTGTGACCAGCCCATAGTGTATATAACACTTGTATTGTACAGTCCCTTGTCCTCCCCCTCACCTGCCCTGAATCCACCACATAGATGAGCCAGTCCCCACTCTCCGTGACCAGCCCACTGTGTATATAACACTTGTATTGTACAGTCCCTTGTCCTCCCCCTCACCTGCCCTGAATCCACCACATAGATGAGCCAGTCCCCACTCTCCGTGACCAGCCCACTGTGTATATAACACTTGTACTGTATAGTCCCTTGTCCTCCCCCTCACCTGCCCTGAATCCACAACATAGATGAGCCAGTCCCCACTCTCTGTGACCAGCCCACTGTGTATATAACACTTGTATTGTACAGTCCCTTGTCCTCCCCCTCACCTGCCCTGAATCCACCACATAGATGAGCCAGTCCCCACTCTCCGTGACCAGCCCACTGTGTATATAACACTTGTACTGTATAGTCCCTTGTCCTCCCCCTCACCTGCCCTGAATCCACAACATAGATGAGCCAGTCCCCACTCTCTGTTACCAGCCCACTGTGTATATAACACTTGTATTGTATAGTCCCTTGTCCTCCACCTCACCTGCCCTCAATCCACCACATAGATGAGCCAGTCCCCACTCTCCGTGACCAACCCACTGTGTGTATAACACTTGTATTGTATAGTCCCTTGTCCTCCACCTCACCTGCCCTGAATCCACAACATAGATGAGCCAGTCCCCATTTTCTGTGATCAGCCGGTTGTGTATGGTGGCCAGGTCCGATGTGTCGTATGTGTATCCTCCATCAGACTTGACCACGGTCAGAGGCACAGAGTGACCAGGCACAAACATCACTTTACGTCCCTCGTCCTCTTGCAGGAAATCTGAACACAGACAAGGAAGAAGAATTTGTTTTATGTTTTATGTTTTATACCGACTACAACACACGGAACCGATAGGGTCGTCATTGAAATGGCCTAATCGGAACAACACTACCCAATTTCAATGGCTCTACATACACTCTCTCACCTCTGTCTTCCAAGGTCTTCACAATGACTTTCATCATTTCATTGTAGTAGGACTCGCCTCGGTCCTCTAGGTGCACATCAAGACGCTCGTACACTTTCTGAAACTCTGGAACATCAACATGACTCAGAAATAAAGAATTGACAAGTGATTTTGGTGCATTTGATTGGGTAACCAAGCAATTTGTTTTTGTTTATGTCTCCATAAATTCAAAAAACATTTAGACCACGCCCACTAATAAAGGACTGTTTCCTGATTGGCTGATAAAAGAATTGCTGGGACTTGTGTTGCATAATTGCGCTGAATGATGTCACTGTTTCATTTATAGCCTACCATTCCTGGAGATATTGTATACAAGCTGTACATAGCCTACCATTCCTGGAGATATTGTATATCAGCTGTATACAGACTACCATTCCAGGTGTATTGTATAACATCTGTATATAGACTACCATTTCTGGATATATTGTAGATCGGCTGTACACATTTTACCATTCCTGGAGATATTGTATATCAGCTGTATATAGCTTACCATTCCTGGAGATATTGTATATCAGCTGTACAAAGCTTACCATTCCTGGAGATATTGTATATCATATGTATATAGCCTACCTTTCCTGGAGATATTGTATGTCAGCTGTACAAAGCTTACCATTCCTGGAGATATTGTATATCATATTAACTTTGCCTACCACCCTGGAGATATTGTACATCAGCTGTATATAGCTTACCATTCCTGGAGACACTGTATGTCAGCTGTACAAAGCTTACCATTCCTGGAGATATTGTATATCATATTTATTTAGACTACCCTTCCTGGAGATATTGTATATCAGATATATATATCTGCTTACCATTCCTGGAGATATTGTTTATCATATGTATATAGACTACCCTTCCTGGAGATATTGTATATCAGCTGTATATAGCTTACCATTCCTGGAGATATTGTATATCAGCTGTATTTAGACTACCCTTCCTGGGGATATTGTAGATCAGCTGTAAAAAGCTTACCATTCCTGGAGATATTGTAGATCATGCGTACAAAGCTTACCATTCCTGAAGATATTGTTTATCAGCTGAATTTAGACTACCATTCCTGGAGATATTGTAGATCAGCTGTAAAAAGCTTACCGTTCCTGGAGATATTGGAGATCAGCTGTACAAAGCTTACCATTCCTGGAGATATTGTAGATCAGCTGCCAGGCCTTGTAGTGTTCAGGCTCATATGACTGCAGCTTCACCACACACTGGTACGCCCGCTTCTTGAAGTCTTCTTCTTCATCAAAACGCTTCTTAGATTCCTGAAATAATCACAGACAAAGTCAAAACTGCTGTCAAATTCTAGTCGTACTTTGATACTAGCAAACACCTGTAACAGACAAGCCCCTTCTTAGAGCCGCTTGAACAGTACATCACGTCACAGCTGTTAAGAAAGCCTGACGTGACTCAGGTCATGACACTTACTAGCTTAGTGAAACCAGCAGCTGGTCATGTACTGAGAGACCAAAGATCATAATCAGCAAACCATGATCAGCGGACCCTGGCAGTTCTAAGGGATGCAACTCTGCACAGAGAAATACACACTATCAATAATTGAGAACTTGTCAGGAGAACCAAAGGCAGTAGGTTGGAAGACTTCAAAGGGAAGATCAAACCAAAATACATGAAGCAAGTGACTCACTAAGCACTGGCTGTGTACCCGTGAAGATCCGGGGTAGAATAGGTCTTCAGCAACCCATGCTTGCCCTAAAAGCCAACTATGCTTGTCGTAAAAGGCGACTAACAGGATTGGGTGGTCAGGCTCGTTGACATGGTTGATGCATATCATCGATCCCAATTTCCTGGATCGATGCTCATGATGTCAATCACTGAATTGTCTGTTCCAGACTCGATTATTTACAGACCGCCGTCATATAGCCGGAATTTTGCTAAGTGCGGCGTTAAACAACAAACAAACAAACAAATATGTACTGATCTAAATACAAGACAAACAAGTGCCTCGTAACAGCCACACTCTTCCTTCAATTTTTCGTTGATTAATTCTCTTTAAGAACTCAAAGATCGTGACATGACCTTAAGGAATCAAACAACATAATACAATCAAACCCTGTGAATCAGGACACATTGTTAATCAGGACAGCATGTTAATGAGAACACGTGGTTAATACTGACACCTCATACACCCTGTTAATCAGGATGCCATGTTAACCTGGACACCAATGTTACTCAGGACACCCTGTTAATCAGGAAACATTGTTCATCGGGGCACTGCTGATCTGGACACCCTGTTAATCTTGACAATCTGTTAATCTGGGCATCTTGTTAATCCTTCTTGTTAACCTATATCCTGACACTGTTCATTCAACCGGAAACTTAGACATATGATCAGAAACCAAGTGAACAAACACCATAAAACCTCTGTAGTTGTGTAGGCCAACATGAAAATGTTTCATCTTAAACTATACACTGAAACTACTTTTCTCAGAAGTAAACCATGTAAATAGTTCCATTTGTCCAATGCAATTCTAAGACAAATGAATGATACACAGATACTGCTGTTATTGTGAAAACTATGGAAGCCCGATCCCATTTTCTAAAGCATTATTACTTGTACGCAATACACCAAGGGACACAACTCTGCACATGTTATTTGTTAATCTGAACCAATGGGAAGGTTCTGTCAGGTCTAAAAGGGTCCACTGTAATTGTGACTACACAGGACAAGGAATACACAAGAGTACAAAGAGGATAAATCATTTCATCATATTCTGTGGAGGAGACAGAGAGTTCTTGTTTAAAACTGTTTATGTTTTAAGTAAGCACTTGTGAACATAAACAAGAACTATCAGGAGATGACGTATCCCCGCAGTCTGGTACAATTTGGAAATGGAGTTTGGCTCCTTATACCCCACTTGTGGTTCATTGCCGTTGGATAACTTCAGTTCAGTGAAGAAAAAATAATGCTGTTCAGTGTTTTTCAAATTCCCAAATCATCAATAGACACCAGTTCACTACTAGACAGATCTGTACAGCAACTTTCATCTAAAAATATTCAACGGTTTTGGAGTTCTGCTCCGGAAACAGAAAACAACTTGTCTTCATCATAAAAGATTATGAAAACAAAGATGACAAATCCCCCGGTCCCAACAAATTTGAAAGAACAAATCATCTGAATGTTACTTTAAGTCCAACTTCACGAGGGAATTTCTCTTGAATTTGTCTGTTTTTATACCATGTATACTAGAGTAGTTTTTGAGCTATCAAAACAATACCATGAAATATGGATTCGGCACTTTGTATTTCTATGTAAGGAACACAACACTATGAACAGAGTCAAAAATCAAACTTGTTGCCATGGAAACAGAAAAAATTAAATTCCAAAAATCTGTAAGTAGCAAAAGGCTATTTGAACACCTCATGTTTGTGTGGGCAAAGTGTCATTAAAGAAGACCTATTAGTTTTAGAGACATGGTCCGGACAAACACGCCACTATGAACAGTGTCAAAGTCAAATTTGTTACCATGGAAACTAAAAAAAATATAAATTCAAAACACCCCTAAGTAGCAAAAGGCACCATTTGAAACAGGAAACACTTAAGAATCAGTTTGATATATCTGCCAAGATTTGTTGAAAGATACAGTGTATTTAACATTTTTGTTTATTGTGCTCCGGAAACAAAATCCACCGCCTTATTACACCAAGTCCAAATTGTTTCCATGGAAATTTAAGGGAAAAAAATGCCAAAAGTCTGGTTTTCAAGTTACGCTCCAGAAATAAAAGGAATAGGGACAGACGGACGGACAGATGAGGATTCAACTATATCCCCCCCCCCTATTATATGCCAAGGGGATAAAAAATTGAAAACAATAAAAATCCCAAATCATAAAAAGGCACCAGTTTCCGACTAGACTGATCTATATAGAAAGTTTCAACAAGAAATATTAAACGGTTTTGGAGTTCTGCTCCGGGAAATGGCAAATGGATGACTGACTGTCAGACAGACGCACAGACAGACGCACAGCTGGACAGACCTGGTGATTGCTAAGGACAGTGGGATTTTTGTTAATCCATTTTATGAGCGTCACTAATTAAATGACGAGGCATTTGGATATTTGTAGGAGAATCAGCGATGAATCTCATTTTGCCATCAGATTGGACATGTTGGAGGCTTCACACCGTTCACTGTTATGGATAGCATATCCAATTTTGGTTATCTCCTCCCTCTCAGCCCTCTCGTAGGGCCCCCAACATTATGCCTCAGTCACATTTTCCGCGGCAGCCGTGGAGTCTAAAATATCCATGGCCAATAGCAACAGCCGCCACAGCATTCCCACGGTCACACACTGTAGCAGTCACATATGTTAGGGTAGACTAATGGGATCAGGTGCTCAGGCTCGCTGACTTGGTTGATGCATGTCATTGTATCCCAATAATGCTGAATGAGGCGTTAAACAACAAACAAACACAATATCCAGTATATCCAGTCAACAATATCCTTCTGTTAATCCTGAGGACAAATTATTGTGAAGTCCCTGACCTTATAGAAGGCCTGCAAGTCTGCTATTGGAGGGGCCTTGGTCAGGTAGTTGGGGAACTTCTCCCTCAGGTGAGCAATGAGCATCCCGAACTGGGTCCCCCAGTCCCCCAGATGGTTGATCCGGAGAACATCATGGCCCACCCACTCCAGCAGCCGACAGATGCTCTCACCGATGATGGTGGACCTGTAACAGAGCAAACAACAGAAACGTGAAGGAGAGAGTTGGGTTTAACACTAATTTGGACAGAATTTCACGGCACGCCAGTGTACTATAGATACGCAGCGTTACCAGTATACTGGTACACCATGACATGAAATACTAATGAATACGTATCACTATACGTTTGGAAAATACCGATATATTGCATTTTTCAAATTCATGAATATTTTCATCATGTTGGCAAAGTTTACACAAGTCATCAGAAGATGACCCCAGGCCCCAAGTAAAAGTCATCTGACTGTTACTTTAAGTCCAACTTGATGGGGGAACTTCTACCTAATCTGTCTGTCTGTATACAAGAGTAGTTATAAAATATCAAAACTATACCATGGAATTGGGATTCAGAACTTCTATTTATATGTCAGGTACACACCAATAGCAGAGTCAAAGTCAAACTTGTTGCCGTGGAAATGGGAAAACAAGTATTTGTCACAAAGTGACGAAATGTCCCCCGCCTGTATATACACCATAGTACCAAATATGAAGACGATTAGTTCTTGAGATATCGCGGCAACACTGTTTTCCAACTCCAAAAGCAGATTTGCCTGCTGTGACCTTGAAAATGGGGTCAAGGTCACCAAAACCGACTGGTGTCTGCGGTGTCTGTATATACACCATAGTTCTAAATATGAAAACAATCCAGTGTTTAGTTCTTGAGATATCGCGGCAACACCGTTTTCCAACTTTAAAAGCAGATTTGCCTGCTGTGACCTTGAAAATGGGGTCAAGGTCACCAAAACCGACTGGTGTCTGCGGTGTCTGTATATACACCATTGTTCCAAATATGAAGACAATCCAGCGATTAGTTCTTGAGATATCGCGGCAACACTGTTTTCCAACTCCAAAAGCAGATTTGCCTGCTGTGACCTTGAAAATGGGGTCAAGGTCACCAAAACCATCTGGTGTCTGCGGTGTCTGTATATACACCATAGTTCCAAATATGAAGACAATCCAGTGTTTAGTTCTTGAGATATCGCGGCAACACCGTTTTCCAACTCCAAAAGCAGATTTGCCTGCTGTGACCTTGAAAATGAGGTCAAGGTCACCAAAACTGACTGGTGTCTGCGGTGTCTGTATATACACCATAGTTCCAAATATGAAGACAATCCAGCGATTAGTTCTTGAGATATCGCGGCAACACCGTTTTCAAACTCCAAAAGCAGATTTGCCTGCTGTGACCTTGAAAATGGGGTCAAGGTCACCAAAACGGACTGGTGTCTGCGGAGTCTGTATATACACCATAGTTCCAAATATGAAGACAATCCAGTGTTTAGTTCTTGAGATATCGCGGCAACAAACAGGTGGGACGGACGGTCGTGAATACTATATCCCCCGCTTCGCGCTTTCGCGCGACGGGGGACAAAAAGTCATTTTAAAAAATCTCTTAACAGCATATGGCTCTTTCCTGCAGCATCACCACACACTGGTCTTTGTGTGTACACAGTTTCATAACAGAACACCTACTACTTTTAGAAATAGGGTCCCGACAAAGACGCCACTGTGAGTCAAAGTCAAACTTGTTGGAATGGAAACAGGAAAATATTTTTTTAACATAAAAATCCCTAAATATCAATTGGCACCACTTCAGCCCCTGATTAATACATGTACCGGTACCAGCTTTGGAAGAAAAGTCCTTTACAGTTTTCAAGTTGTTCTCCGGAAATGAAATCCACCCCCACCCCTTTTGAGACAAAGTCCAATTTGTTTCTATTAAAACAGAGAAACACAAAAATGAATAAAAAAATCTGCATTGAAATAATTTGTACTTTGTCTCATAAAGGGGGTGGATTTGGTTTCCGGGACGCTACTCAAAAACAGTTTGATGTCTCTCAACAAAACTTGGCAGATATATCCAAGTAATCCTAAAGTAATGCCTTTCACTATTTAGGGATTTTAGAATTTTAATCCCCCCAGTATATAATGCTGGGGAGATAAAGTAGGCGCCTCATCTTTCCGTCCATCCATCTGCCCGCAATCAATGGAGAAATAAAATGACAAATATACGTAAATAGCAAAAGACACCACTTCACAATCTGTTTGATATATCTACCAATTAATGCTGAAAAATATTGAGCCGTTGACGAGCTGTGCTCTTGAAACAAAATGATTATGTACAGATATGGTGATCGCTATATTCCCCCCACCTTTTTTTCAAACCATTTCGATAATAAATGGATATGTTCACACACTGTAATGATTCTGAGTAAATGTATGAACGTATGGAGGGGTGAAGGAAGGGATAGAAGAGACGTAAGTGAGTGAGTTGGGTTTAACTCTGCGTTGATCAGTATTCCAGCTTATCACAAAGTGTGGCAGGAAAGTGTGGCTTGATGTGGCAGGAAAGCCCGAAGTGATGCAGGTCTTAGATTCTTAGATGTTTACAATTTTAGTGAAACCCACAAGCACGGGTGCGGTGCTGACAAATCAAGAAACTAAATGGGGACAAACCCAGATTTGAACTTGAATCAAAAGTTTCTGCCATGCCCAAGGGTGGCAACACTGCATTGTGAATTGTGGCGCTTTAGACAACTGGGCCACCCATGTTGTGGCAAATGAACGAACGAATAAATGAACGAATAAACAAACGAACGAACGAACGCACGCACGCACGCACGAACGAACGAACGAACGAACGAACGAACGAATGAAAGAACAAACGAAAAAACAAACAAATCACAATAATGTACAGGGTATCAAAGACATATGATGATTCTTCCCACCTGAGATGACCAACATGCATTTCCTTAGCAATATTGGGGGATGAAAAGTCCACTACAACCCTCTGCTTGTGGTTGATGACAGGTGGCCTGACCCCCTTGTTGAGGATCTTGCTGATCTCCCGGGAGACGTAGTCCTTCTTCAAGTAGATGTTGATGAAGCCTGGCCCCGCAATCTCCAGCTGAAAAAACAGTCAGCCTCATGTTACAATAACGTGGGTATTGATACAGTTCAGCACGGGTACGGTGCTGACAAACCTAGAAACATCATCATGGCAAACTGGGCTTCGAAACCCATTATCATAGGTTTCTGGTGTCCAACAGACGTAACTTCTTTCATATTACTATGGTAATTCTGCCATGGCATGACAGATTAACTATGGTTATATGAATGAATGAGGTGTTGTTTAACTTCTGTGTAGACTTTGACCCCTACCTTGTCCAGAACATCCACCTGCGGCATCTTGTCCACAATGGCCTGCGCCACCTGCCTTGGGTTTACCTTCTCACCTTGGCTCGACAGAATCTGTAAAAACACACACACATGCAAACTCAGGCCAAGCAAAATAATACATGTGTTTCTTATTTCAGTCTCTCCAAAAATAGAGCAGGATTATTTAGCTGAAAAAAATATCTGTACTAGACAACACTGGAAAAAAATAATTTCTCCTCAGATTTTACAATCTGTTCACTAAACAGGTACATATCCTGAATTATACAAGTGGTCAAGCAAATGGACCTGTTAAGTTCCACCTTTCAAAGAAATGGTGTTTGGAGATATCCCACGTATATCCCATCTCTGACAAACACAGTCGGCCTCCTACCATGCCTACATCACAAATCTGAATGGTTGTCATTAAGCTTGGCGATCGCCTCCGTGGTCTAGTGGTACAGCGTCCGCCTGGAGAGCAATCCCAAACCGTGTCATTCCAATAGACGTTAAAAGATGGTACTTGTTGTCACCCTATCTGGCGCTCAGCATTAAGGGGCTAAAACAAGGACTGGTCAGCTCGGAGTCAGAATACTGTGTCTGAGTGGGGTTTTCATGTTATATTGCGGCATGGTATCTCAGTGGGCTAGCACGATAAAATCGGCATCAGTCCAGACTAGAACAAGCAGCCACACACACATGCATGCACATCGCCATATAAGTGCAAAAATCTTGGACGCGACGTTAAACCCCATTTCACATCACCTCACCATTAAGCATGGTAAACAAAAGTACAAGAAACATTGCAAATAACCTTGGCTATGCCCATGGCACTGTTACACTGATAGTCCGCAAACTTCTGGCTGGCAGACAACAGGATGGGCGGGTTTTCCAGGCCAGGGTAAGCATCACGGATGGCCACACCAAATATCTCCTCCAGGACTCCGAACAGGCTGACCATGTGATCCGGGCTCCGAGCCTTCTCCTCAACCAGATACTGAAGCAGAAACCACGGAAACTTCACAGAATACCAAAGGGATAAGTGTTTTTTAACAGAATACTTAGCATTGTTTAACAGAATACTTAGTGATGTTTAACAGAATACTTAGTGTTGTTCAACAGAATACTTGGTGTTGTTTAACAGAATACTTGGTGTTGTTTAACCGAATACTTAGCATTGTTTAACAGAATACTTAGCATTGTTTAACAGAATACTTAGTATTGTTCAACAGAATACTTGGTGTTGTTTAACAGAACACTTAGTGTTGTTTAACAGAATACTTAGTGTTGTTCAACAGAATACTTGGTGTTGTTTAACCGAATACTTAGCATTGTTTAACAGAATACTTAGTGTTGTTTAACAGAATACTTAGTGTTGTTCAACAGAATACTTGGTGTTATTTAACAGAATACTTAGCATTGTTTAACAGAATACTTAGTGTTGCTTGTTTAACTCAACAAAATACTTACTGAAAAGGAAGAGAATTTATTGATGTCATCTTCTTTCTTATGAGGAACACAACATTTTGGAGTATATACTTACTCCTTCATCAGATGAATAAATGCTATGAAGCAGAGAACATATATATTGCAGAACAAAAGAAATAAAAAAAACATGAAAGCGTGGTGTGCAGTGTGGCGGTGCGTGGTGTGGTGTGCGTGCTGCAGTATGTGGTGTGCATGGTATGCGGTGTGTGGTGCCGTTTGGTGTGTGTGGTGTGATGTGCGTGGTGCGGTGTGTGGTGTGCATGGTATGAAGTGTGTGGTGTGTGTGGTGCTGTGTAGTGCTGTGTGGTGTGTGGTGTGTATCCAAAGTAGAGGGCACCAGGCCTATTCTGCATGTGGTACAAGATTACTGGCTGTCAAGCAACACGTGATGTTTGGCTCCAACCACCAACCTTCCTCAGATGATTCAGCTGGTACTGAAGCTTCACGTTCTCCGACTTCAACTTCTCTACTTCAGGGGAAACAACTCCTTCTAGTCTGATGGGGTTCTGGAGCTGCATGATCTCCTGTTCCAGCTTCCTGATCTCGGCTTCCTAGAGAGGGTGAATTAGAGATAAAAGGTTAATGCATTCACGAACTGACCACTTTCCAATTAAAACGGAAAGCGTTACATGTTCCTTGAAGCATAAGCATAGACGAGACTCTCAGTTTCTTTCTTTCTCTTATTTGTCCAGTATGATTCAGTCTCCAAGAGTGCTTTCAAGCAGTTAACCTTTACAGGATTCTGACACTATAAAACTGTTTTTTTAATCATAATTCACTACACTTCAGGCAGTTCCAAAAAGTATTATCTAAGATCAACTGCATTCAGCTTTAACTAACTGTAGCTTTATTTTACTATCAATAATATTTACTTGGTGTGAGTGAGAAAGAGTGAGTGAGTGTTGTCTCATGCTGTAGTGAGTGAGTGAGTGAGGATGGTATTATGCCTCTTTTAGCAATATTCAAGCAATTTCATGGCGGGCGACACCAGAAATGGGCTTGGCACATAGTACCCATTTTGGGAATCAAAACCGGGTCTTCGGTGTGATGAGCAAACGCTTTAATCACAAGGCTACCCGACCGCCCCTCATGCTGTAGTGAACAACAGCCCTCATGCTGTAGTGAACAACAGCAGGCTGGAATAATGTCAACAGAAGGCATGTCCCAGGACTTATAGTAGGTTCCTGAGACTTATTTTTCTCAAATTCGATATTTTTTCATATAAAACAAATTTCAGAAACTTAATTTGCAGAACATGACTACGCCTGGTCCATTTATCCATCATAGAATAGAATAGAAATAGAAAATAGAAAGAAAAGAAAAAGATTTTTAAAAATACTACAGTATAATAGATCTGCAACACAAGGTAATGTGTTAACAATTAATATTGTTGTTACAACTAACGAGTGTAGTTATAAGCATAAGTTGTCGTTCTCAACTAAATCAGTCTTCTGTAAACTGAATGTTCATTAACAATCTGATGCTACCAACAACTTCACAGGACTAGTGACATTTTCTCAGTGGTTACTGTGAGAAATGTAGTCAACTTCACAAACGTCAACAACCTGTTAACAGTTTCAAACAATGTTTCTAAATTCAGCTGAATCATTTTGACGATTCTGTGTTTTGAGTCTAGACTTAGCCCGACTGAAAATCATACAGCATTCATTTGCTGGTCAAATCTTCCTCATATCTATTTAAAAACATATTGTGTCAAAACAATGTGATCGAAAACTGAACAGTTGATGCCGACGATGTTCATGAGAATATCATGTAAGAAATCTATTCGATGTCAATGGCAATAGTTCACTTTAAAAGAACCTCGCCACGTGGGGACAGGCTGCATAAGTAAAGTATTATTGTTACCGCCTGTTCGACGCGTTTAGTGTAGACCTCCATATCATCCATGATGCAACGTGCTTCTTTTCAAGAGTTATGGCCCTTAGTTCCTCTTGCTCTAAGCTGAACTGGTTCCACTGTTGGTACGCGACGCAAGCTCGGTGCGATTTTGTCTACTAGTTTAGGTAGACCGGAGTCCAGTCTAACGCCACTACACTAAAACTCCACAGTTGACAAAGTTGCGACAGAGTAACCGATAAAGATGACACCCAGTATCTTTATAACTGTTTGGTAACGTTGCATGATGCAAGTGTAAGTAATTTTGTCCATTATTGCGCCACACTCTACGTGTATTTAAAAAATATAAACAAAAAGAGTACGTGTCTTACTCCCAACAGAGACCATAAAATAGAGTCTCTGCTCTCAAAGTCTCTCTTGTATTTTGTTTTTAGTTGTTATCTATGGCTACAACTGGTAACCGGTATCAATATAGGTTTAACAAAAATATGTGCGGACATTTATTTACTTCAATTTAAAAGAAAACAGATTTATTATTTTAAAAATGGGGGCCTCTATTTTTATTCACGAATGCTGCGCAGGACAGCTCATGCCTGTCATAAGAGGAATTTCGCCACCGCTCAAAAATGGTTGGTTGGTTTCTTGTTTTACGCCGCACTCAGCAATATTCCAGCTATATGACGGCGGTCTGTAAATAATCGAGTCTGGACCAGACAATCCAGTGATTGATATCATGAGCATCGATCCACGCATTTGGGATCGATGACATCCATCAACCAAGTCAGCGAGCATGCAATAAATATCACCCATGGTTGAAACGATCTGCGATTATCAAGTAGATTTTATTTTTTTTAAATTACCCAAAGCAATTTTTAATGATAATGACGGGTAACTCGGGTGGGAACTGAGTAGGACCCGGGTACCCAGGGGACCCGTGATTTGTCACATGATATATTGTTTAATGACAAAACTTCACAATAACAATGTATAGTCCGTCGGCTGTCAGATGAACAGTACCACCAAATTCTTATTACCCACATGTATGTGAACATGGGTTCTAAATGCAAGTACTGTCAAATTTTGCTGGACGAACGCCACTTTCTGTTGGGAAAGCGATAACACTATATTTGCATCCTTACCCTACATGTACCAAACAAAATGTAATTTCAACTTAATTTTGTATCATTTCATGTACAGGCCTTAAGTTATAAATTATCTGGTCCGACCAGCAACACGATTATTTATTACGACTGCACTATTGATTCAGTGGGTTTATGCGTCTACCCAGGGACCACCTAAAAGTAGGGCCAAGAAAAGTCGGACCCGTCAGGGTTAGCGGATTATACTAAAAACCGATTGCAGAACAATAAAACAAAGCGTTACTTGCTTACTATTGGAGATTTAACCAGCGTTTTCCGACATTATGCCTATTTCGCACACGGGCCCGCCAGGCAATTTAGTGAAATTGACAAAGAAGGTGTGTCCGAAAGGTGAGGCACCCTGGGGGCATTAGGGTTGCTTATTTTCAATTTTGAGAAATTTTCAATTTGGAAAGGTTTGGGGACTTAGTGGGGGTGTGGATGTGTGGTTTGGGGATTTGTGCTTTTTTTAGTTTTGATTAGTGGTGGTTTAATTTTTGTAGGTGATTATATGCGGCCTAGTCGTTCAGTTTTAATGAGGAATATGCCTAATGCTTTGAAGGTTTGTGTATCGTTTGGCGGATTTAGAAGTTTGGCTACTGTTAGTTGAGTGTTTGCATCTGGGCAAATACATCTCTAGGGTCCACAAGTGTATATACAACAATGAAGCCAAGAGATGCAATAGCGAAGGCCAAACTAACTCTATTTCTGAGAGATTGACAGCTACTCGAACGTATATCAACAGAGCAGCCAAAGATAAAAAATGAAATTATATCAATATACGAAATCAGAAATCATATCAATACAAAAACAGAAATTCTGTGAATACCAAACTCACAATAGATATGTGTACCCCACTCACACACGAGTCCCAAAGAGGGACAGGTCAGCCGAAATTGCTAAGGCAGAAGCCGAAATCTTAAACACTTAAAGCAACAACAACAACATACTTAATTCAATAATGTATTTAAAGATAATCCACTAAAGAGATACCCATGCTTCACCTAAGCATTGAATGATTGATCCATATCGCTATTATGCCTTATACTTATATAATGTTACAATAAATACCTTTATATTTTCAAAATACTATAACACCCTATAATCAGAAATATGTTAGTTCAGGATTGACCCAGCCGACCGAAACACACTAAACCATCACGGGTGTATCAGGGAATACGTTTAGATTGATGGAATAGTGTACCTACCACTTAAAAGTGTCACATAATATGATTACATGGTACATTATAAATCCGTTAAAGGACATCGAATTTCCTCCTTATGAGGAACGTTTGGTTGGAGCTGGCCCGGTGTCGTCAATATCAACTATGACATCACATATGTATCATTAAAAGTGTAAAAATTTTAGAAAGACATTAATCTACCCACATACCACTTATAATGACACAGATCGTGGTATTTAAAGCAAACGCGTTGGTCAAAGTGAAGCCCGTGTTCCAATACTCTATTCCATACTCTCAACAAATGTGGGGTCACGGGTGGCCAAGTTGTCTAAGGCGCCGCGATTCGCTGTGTAGAGTTGCGTCCCTTGGGCAAGCCAGAAACCTATGATTGTGGGTTCGAATCCTGGTTCGCCCCAATTATGTTTCTAGGTTTGTCAGCACCGTGCTCGTTGGTTTCGCCGAAGTGGTAAACGTCTGAGACCTGCATCACTTCGAGCTTTCCTCCCACATTAACCTGACACGCCGCGATATAACTGGAATACTGTCAAAAGCGGCGTTAAACCAAACTCACTCGCTCTCAACAAATGTTCGGCCCGACTTGGCCTGGGTGCTGTCACAATCAACCTAAACTTTACATATGTATAATCAAATGTGTTTACATCTATAGAACAGTATTATATCTACTAAATACCACTTTGTAGTGTCACAGGTCGTGGTATCTAAAGCAAACATGTTGCTCAAAGTGAAGCCCTCTACATACCAAGGATAGTCTCTATCAGGAATGTTTGGTCTGTGTTCGGTCCGACTTGGCCTGGGCTGTCACAAATCAACATAAACCTCACAGATGTTTCATCAAATGTATCTAAATCTATAGAATAATATTATATTTACCTATATACCACTCTAGAGCGTCACAGTACGTGGCATTTAAAGAAAACTGGCCCGTTAAAGTGAACCCTTTTCCCTCTGCATACTCAAATAGTCATTATCACAAGTGGGGCGGTCGGGTAGCCTAGTGGTTAAAGCCTTCGCTCGTCACGCCGAAGACCCGGGTTCGATTCCCGACATGGGTACAATGTGTGAAGCCCATTTCTGTGATATTGCTGGAATATTGCTAAAAGCGGCGTAAAACCATACTCACTCACTCACTCACTTTATCATAAGTATTTGGCCTGTCTCCGGTCCGACTGTCCCGGGCTGTCAAAATCAACTTGAACCTCACAGATGTATCATCAAATGTGTTTACACCTATAGAATGATATCATACTTACCTATATACCACTTTAAAACCTCGCAGTACATAGTACTTAAAGAAAACTGGCCCGTTAGAGTGAAGCCCATCTCCCTCTACATACTCAACTAACACTGATGCACAATCGAGTTCAATATTGAGACTTCTCATGCTGCTTCTATTAACCAAGCGCCTATCTCAGTCACAGCAACTTAGCCTACGACAGCTGACAGGAACACTAGTCATCCTGGTTCAAGTAATCTAGTGGAGCTCTCCGATACAGATTATATATGGAAACTCTACACAGAGACTTCTCATGGCCTTGAATTCAGTGGAAATACCCATGTGAACGCTAACAGTGACACACCGGAAGGAGTCTGTCCAGCGGAATTATCAGAGTAACCCACAGAACAAAGGTTATCCCATACGATCCCTCGGCAAATGGTATAACACTCTACAAGGTGTCTCGCGTGTTCATACGAGACAGATTGTTCTGTAAGGTGGGCACGTCGTTCGAAGAACTAAAGAACTTCATATCCTGTTATGCCCTTAAGCGTCACATTCGTGTGACATTTTTTTTTTAAAACACATTTTTATTCAGTGAATCTGGATCGGTAAACAAGCCAAAAGGCTTATGTTCATACCTCCCTAGTACTGGTTATATTCATAAAGGCATTATACAAAATATTGCATGATGATAAACTAAATACATTAACAAGAGCAAGTGGTCATGGGCAACAGTTTGGTGTTATGAGTAGAAAAATTAATATATAAGCGGGATTTATAGTCTCATGTTAGTTTAAACGTTTTGGAGTGAAGTATGTATGAATGTACTCAGTTTAAGATATCTAGATTAGTAGTTTTTGTAAAATTAGCATTACTATTCAATATTGTGTTGAGATCAACTCTCTCAGAGTAGAAGAATGAGTCATGTCTTACATCATTATAAAAGTGACAGGAACAGAAATAGTGTGATCCATTTTCATACATGTATTCACAAGAACAAGCTGCATTGTCGGAAATGTGTCTTTCATATCGATGGGCATTTAGATCGCTAAAACCAAGTCTGAGGCAAGAATGTACAATCTGACAAAATCTACTACCAAAATTTAGATCAAAATTCAATTTGGTATTTATATTCTGTTTTAAAAATCTCTAAAATTAACCAACAGTTTCTTTATTAATAACGTCATCAGGCAAATGATTCCAACGCTTTACAGTGTCTTTTAAAAACCATTTAGCATAATAATTTGTCCTACATCTCATAGTCTGTAAAATGTAACTGTCTCTTAATCAATAGCTTCTGTTAGCAGAGACATTTCGAGGTATTAGGCGAGAAAGATATTCAGGCGTGAAGCGATTGATCATTTAATGGAAAAGAGTTAGGTTTGAGTTCTGTCGTGTTTGGACAAGTGCAATCTCGGCAAGTTTGCTGTTTCATTCCTTCTCGGCCTTCCGTCTCAAAGGGTCGTTTGGACAACGAATATGCATGAATTTCGCTAAATGTCTTGTGCATAACGATACACGTGAGCAGAAACGGAAATCCCTCAACTGTAATATTGGGATTCCCTGACATTCCGTAGTAACCAAAGAAGTCCGCTTCGGTGGGCGTGGCTTCATCTTTAACATTCATTGGGAAATGAATGCAATAACACGTGACCAATTAAGCTAATCACTACCACTACCTTGCCACACAGACCACATCTACTGACATTGTCCACAACTACCTTGCCACACAGACCACGTCTACTGACATTGTTCACTATCACCACCACATTGCTACACAGATCACATCTACTGACATTGTCCACAACTACCTTGCCACATAAAGCACATCTCCTGACATTGTCCATCACTACCCTGCCATACAGACCACATCTACTGACATTGTCCACAACAACCTTGCCACACAAACCACATCTACTGAAATCGTCCACAACTACATTGCCACACAGACCACGTCTACTGACATTGTTCACTATCACCACCACATTGCTACACAGATCACATCTACTGACATTGTCCACAACTACCTTGCCACATAAAGCACATCTCCTGAAATTGTCCACCACTACCTTGCCACACAGACCACATCTACTGACATTGTCCACAACTACCTTGTCACATAAAGCACATCTACTGACATTGTCCACCACTACCTTGCCACACAGACCACATCTACTGACATTGTCCACCACTACCTTGCCACATAGACCACAGTAGTTGGCGGCATCGGTGTAGTACCTTTCCTGGCTTCTGATTGGTCGAGAGGTCACGTGACCTCTGTGACGTCACTTCCGGTCACATGACCTGCGCAGGGCATGGTGGGTCCTGCGTGCGCATCTAAGATTGCGGCACATCCGTTTCCGGTGGCGTGCGCATCCAAGATGGCGGCACATCCGTTTCCGGTGGCGTGCGCATCCAAGAGGGCTGCACATGCGTTTCCGGTGGCATGCACCTCCAAGAGGGCGTCGTATCCGTTTCCGGGGAGGAGGAGGGAAGGGGGAAAAACCCAGAGAAGCGGTTGTAAAAGGTGAACAAGATCGACATTGTTGTTCTTTTGTTGTTCTAAAAAAAGACGTGGTGGAGGGTGGGAGGGTGGTGGTGAAGGGAGGGAGGGAGGGAGGAGGAGGAGGAGGAGGTGGGTTCTTTGTTTGGGTTTGAGGGTCGTCAAAGCAAAGGATGAAAGCGTTCTTTCGGGAGAGATGGGTGGCCCTGAAAAGGGCCGTTAAAAAACAAACTGGAAACTGGAAACGGGAAACGGCAGGAAACGGTAGGAACACTGGAACACTGGAAAAACTGGAAACGATGGGAAACTGGAAAAAAACAGTGGAGCAGCATGCCCCATGCGTTAGTCACTTTGTTCAGATGATCTATCTTCTTCATCCTCTACCTCCATCTCATCCTCGGACTGAAGGTGTCGTCGGCGCTTTGAAGAGTGTTTTCTTGGGGGGCTTCTGTCCCGTTTTCTTTTCTCTAGACGAGGTGTGATGCCCACACGGAGTTGTGTGATGTATTCTTTTAGGTCGAGGACATCGACATGCATGGCTTCTATGAGATGAAGCACTTGTGTCACTGGTGTCACGGGTGTCACGGGTGTCGACGTGGACGTGGACGGGACTGCTGACGTTTTCTTTCGACTGGGTTCTCGGCAATCTGCAGCGAAATGACCCACGACTTGGCAGTTGTAACAGGCGCCCTGGGGAGTCTTCTTTCGACTGGGTTCTGGGCAATCTGCAGCGAAATGACCCATGGCTTGACAGTTGTAACAGAAGTGCGGGGAAGTCTTATCTTGTCTGCTTATCTTCGGACAGACATAGTGACGGTGACCTTGAGCGTGGCACTCGAGGCATGTCACTTCAGGGCAGTACAGGTAACTGTGACTGTCGGTCTGGCACTTCATACAACCGTATCGAGGTGGCATGGTTGGTTTCATAGAATGCAGTGTGTGTGTGTGTGTGGCTTCGTTCTTGTTTTGTTTTTATAGGAGAGCCACTGACACCCTGCTTCCTGATTGGTTCCCCAGGCAGCGCCCCCGATTGGTTCGTCCCGGTGCCTGGCCTGCACTTCGGTTTTCCAAAACGGACCGACCCCTGTGTTTCTCTTCCATAGGAAATGGATTTTACCATGGGAGAGAAAGCACAACCCCGGTTCGACCATTCAGAGTCCAGCATGACCCGAGCACGGTCTCTGATTGGCCGAAAACCCAAGCCTCTGATTGGTCTGATTTCGGTTCCGGTTTTTATCTGGATGTGCATTTCGATCCTGTTTTGTTTTTCTTCATCCTACAGACAACATAACACTACTATTTGTTCAACTTTTTTTTTTAATCCCCCGCTCACATGAACCAACACAACAAAACAAAAGTCACAGGATGAGGGGGGCGTCCCTGTGATTTTTGTGAACACGAGGGTGACCACGAGAGTGACCACGAGGGTATGAACGTCTGTACACTTTGAAAAAAAGAAACTTTGTCACTTGGGGTGAACAAGACACTCGACTCTTCTCTTCCGTGCTTCTTGGGACACCAAACGTCTGTATTTTTCGTTCACTTCTCCATCAGGACAAAACACACACAAGTATTCGCAGGGGACTTTGGCGTGCTTCAGATGTTCTTTCCAGGGTTTGTCTGTGCCTTCCCAGTGTCACACCGCAGCAATAACAGATAACACGGTCACCTCGTCCTTGATAGAAATAGCCAGCCATGGCCATGTCATAAGGGGTCTGGGTCATCTGTTTAGGCCACGTTTGAAAAGACCTTAGACGTTGTTGAAATGAATCATAGTTAGGATGAGAAGGATGACACAAGGTGTAAGAAGGAAAAGGTTTCCCCAGAATGTCACTGAGTCGCCATGTGTCGTCCATAAAGAGTGTGTCGTCCATAAAGAGTGTACGTTTTCTCGCTTCTTCTCTCGCCTTTTCAGACACCCATTCGGTATCGGGGACATCTCTGGAGGATGACATGGCATTCATAGACCGTCTTTGCTCCATGATGACTGTGACTTCACTGAAAGAAGGTCTGAGGGTTCGCTTGCTTTTATGAAACTCTCCTCCCTACCCCCTTCAACGGAAGGTCATGACCTCATCGTCCTCATCCACCTCATCACGTGACGTCATCCTGTGTTTCGGCTGACTGACACACGACATGACACATTACATGTCACATGACATGACACACGGTGGTAGTGGTGGTGTGTACTGGAATGACTGACACCAGGCAGCTGATCTTTCAAGCATGTCCTTTCTCTTTTATCTATTTTTTATTTTATTCTTTACTTTTTTCTTCACTTTTACAACGAGCATGTGCACTGACATGACAGACGCACAGACAGACAGACAGACAACGTAGACGACATCTCAACTAAACCTCTACCCTCGGTTTGGCCCTCTATTGGAGTTGAGATCAATCAAGACACAAAGAGTCAGTTCAATCAATCACTGTTTAATAATGAACAACAACAACAACAACCAGATACATAGGAAATACGAAAAGACAATAGAGGAGGGAGTGCTTTGCATGTCCCTACAACAACAACGCGTAAACATTTCCTCTTCCATCTTCAAGCTCTTCTATCTTCAAGCTCTTTGAGAGAAGATGGGGTCACCATAAGATGTGGTCCTCCACCATACAGTCCCAAACAGGTCCAAAACATGTGAGAGGTCCATCAGTTAAACAAGTACAGTCTATGGTCTCCCTGAAACAGACATGGCACATCACTTGACCACTGTTGCAGCTTATGTATCTTAACAGGCAGGCACTACATTCACGTTGTGGGGGAGTGAGTTGAGCTTCTCCATAAGGATCCTGGTCAACGTTGTCATTATCATCATCGTTGCAAACCATGGGCATACCTGAGGAGAAGACATCTTCCGGTGATGAGGGGTGACCAAGAAGCATCAAGCAGGGTGGGTGTTTCCAGATCCATGGAAGGGAGAGTTGCCAGCTTGAGCGCTTCATGATCATCACTGTCACCGGTCGTCATCATCACAGGTGCATTCGGTGAATAGGTTGGCTCCCGAGGGGTTTGTTCCCACCACTGTTCTAGCACGGACTGGGCTGAACTGACATCAGGGGTCCTGTCAATCCTGTCAATCCAACAAGAAAAGAATCATATGAATAGTCATATTCATCATCAACATCAACATCATAATCACATCAAGAATGACTGAGACAAAGAATAGCATGGTATTTATAGTTGTTCTTGATGAGAGATCTTCAGAGACAATTTCTTTCGTGGTCGTCTTTTTGCAGGTGTTGCAGGTTTCAAAAAGGATGTCCCTTTCGTTTCGGAGTCTGCAGCTGCTGTTGCTGCTGTGGTGGTGGTGACTGGCGCTGTTGTGAGGGTGGTGGTGGTGGTGGCAGCTGCTGCTGCTGTGGTGGCAACAGCTGCTGTGGTGGTTGTTGTTGATGCTGCTGCTGGTTTGCTTGTTTTTTTCTTCAGGGTCTTCTTTATCGTCTTCTTCGTGGCTACCTTCTTGGGTTCAGTCAGTTTCCTCATCTTTGAACGTATCTTGGCGTACGCGTCGTCAGCCTTTATCTTTGCACACAACATGTCGTACACTTCACCCCACAGTTCAGCAGTCATGTCACCGTTCTCATCTCCACTGCTTCCTTTACCACCAATGTCGCTCCGTGTTTTGGCATTCAACCGTTTCGACATGATGTTGTCCGGATTTTCTGTTCGTTGTTTCTTTCCAAGTCTTCATGGATGTGTGTCAACACTTGATGGTACTCTCTCCAAACACGTGTTTCTTCCAGATAAAACGCCAACAGCCAACACAACGTGAGGAACATCAATCAGAGGGACGATGTTGTTGCTTGGTCCGTTCAGTGAAAAGTGATGACCGGAGAGCGTTGGTCCTATTAAAAGGCACTGATGCCCTGCTTTCTGATTGGTCCGTTCCGGTGTCTGGTCTGAGTCTCAATTTTTCCAAACTGGTCCGACCCTTGTGTTTCTTTTCCATAGGGTTAGGCTTGTAGCGTGAGAGAGAAAGCACATCCTCGTTTCGACCAATCAGAGACCACCATGGTCCGAGCACGGTCTCTGATTTGTCGACAACCCAGGCTTCTGATTGGTCAGATTTCGATCCGGTTTTTCTGTAGGTGTCCATGTCGATTCAGTTTCGATCCGTTGTGACACCCCCAAAATGATCTAGTCGTCTCTGTACCCAAAGGGGAGCGTGTCTACAGTCAGCCCTGTGGTTTCGTCGTAGACGAGACGTCTCTTGTCGTACACGGTACGATTGTCTTTTCGGGTGGGTCGGGTCACAAGAGCGGTTCCATGCCGAGGTCCTTTACGAATAATTTGATCCAAACTGATTTTCTCCCCCTCTTTCCCAGGCCGTTGTCCCAGTACGCGTTCCATCGCGTTCCATCGGGTCTGGGGTTCATTAACTCATAGCCATAGTTTTTGGGACCTCCTGACACAAACGTCTTGATGGTGTTTCCGTCCAGTTCATCTGTAAACTCACCCAACGAATGGCCCAGCTCTGGATTCGGGTCGTGGGGTCGATGAATGTAAATGACGCTGTCTGTGTCAAAGTACAAGACCCTGCGACCCACCAGGGCAAGGGTCTCGTACAGCTTGAGACGTGCTTGGGCGGTGATCCAAGCAGCGATGGCGACATTGAAATGAGAATGACGGGTTTGGAATTCTTTCTTCTGGGTATAGGTCACTTCCACTATGTGTTCGTTGACAATGGTAACATCCTCGATGGTATTGCGTTCATCCCTCCACAAGGTAAAGTACTGTACAGGATCGTTCATATAGATGTTCTGACTGTAGTCTAACCGTTGTCCAAACTTGCCCCAGAGCGAATTCAGTTGCATCTTGGCAATCGTGCGACGTCCTGGGTTTTTTTCAATGCGGTCCTTGTCCAACCCAATGCCTTCTTTGTCGTAGATCTCCTGGATGTAAGCATCGTGATCCGTACATCCGCTGGCTTTGAGCTTCTCCTTGAAATGACGATCGATATAAGTGTCAAAGAGTCCTACTTGCTGGGTGCCGGGGTCATGCTGTGCAAAGGTGTCAAAATGCCAAACGTCGTAGATCTGAAGCACCTGGTAGTCATACTTCTTCATGGCTTCATGGAGTTCTATGGTGGCATACGTGCCCACCCATGACCTCTCTTCGTCCGTGTGCTCGCAGGGGGAGTCTGACCGGGTATTGGCACACGTACGGCACAAAGGACAGAGCAGTTTGCCACCCGATCTGTAAGGCAGTATTGGATGGTAGAGTCGTTTTGGGAGTATGACACAACATTGGATCAGTCCTTTCAGTTCAAACAACGTGTCCACAGGGGGTTGATGGAGAAGGGTTGGGTGTCCCATGGGAAATGCTCCGGTCTCACACATTAAGCTGACACGCCGCGATATAACTGGAATACTGTTAAAAGCGGCGTTAAACCCAACTCACTCACTGTTATAGCCAAAATGAAATATGTAAAAATCATAAACATTCCTTATTAGCAAAAGTCACCAGGTGAGCATTTGCTTGATGTTCCGGAAACGGTCTCGGGGTGCACTGACAGAAGTCATTTCAATATCAGACAATTTCTTTGTGGCGGAGATAATTAAAGAATCCAAACCCAATGTCGTATTTTCTGGCATAGTATTCGAGATCCAAAGCAATGCATTGAAAGTGGACGTAATCCCAAGCAACTCACAGCTGGAAAATTCCCCACGAAATGTCCTGGCAATTATAGAATCAGCTGCCCTTACATGGAAAACTTTGAGTGAAGCCCAATGAAAAGGAATTCAATAAGGTCATACAGAAGTTTAGGTTTAGGTGAGCTAAAACTTCTTATATCATGACTTATTGAGTGACTGAGTGAGTGAGTGAGTGAGTGAGTATGGTTTTACGCCGCTTTTAGCAATATTCCAGCAATATCACGGCGGGGAACACCAGAAATGGGCTTTACACATTGTACCCATGTCGGGAATCGAAACCGGGTCTTCTGCGTGACGAGCGAACCCTTTAACCACTAGGCTACCCGACCGCCCCACTCTTTCAAAGAATGAAAGACACTTCTAACAAGCGAAACCGTCACATCTCCTTCCTCAAGAACCTACTCCTTTTCACCTCTCAAAGTTGAAAACGGGTGTCAAACAGCTACTAGCTGGGTGTCAAACAATCAGACCATATTGTATCATTTTGATGCTGAAAAATCAAGCACCTCATCAACTAATTGAACTTTCAGCTGAAACTAAAACTGGGACTGAACTTGAAATTCGTCCTGAACCTGTTAATGAAATGCCAATAAATGGAAACCCTACTAAAAGGGAGGGTAAACAACTGATAAGAAAAGAAGCAGGGACCCTAAAACAGACGCCTGTGTCATGGCCAGTCCCTCTGGAGATTCATAACACCTTGTAACGTCTAGATATGGAAGTCTCTCCAGCGCTGTCACCACAGCGAAGAGGACCTTCCCCCTGCTCACGATCTCCAATTGAGACTCGTGAGCTGCTCACATAATATAATAGAATTGTAGAGGCCTTTGCTATAATTTTAAGGATCTGTAGCTTTTAATCGAATACTTTGAACCATCAACATTATGTAAACAAGAAACTGTCCTTAAATTCTTGGCTTGATCAACTGCGAAATGGGCAAAGGCAGCTAACATCCCACCATCGAGTCTGCTCCACATCTTCAAAGTAGTCATCAATATTCGTAAACGCGAGCCTCTTCTATTATTTGGGCGAGGCATCAAGTCCATTTTGAAAGAGTGTTTTTTTGTTTTCCAATGTAACCAAGAGAATTAGTTAGAAATGTAGAGAAAAACCTTCGTCGTTTTGCTTGATTTTGGCGTCAGTCTTAGCGTCACACAGGACGGAAACGATTTCTGTTGAAATGTTTCTGTTTTCAGTTCCATAATTTGAGATCTCTGTGGGTGAAGAAATGCAGGTGTCACATGTGTACCACTTTGGTGGCACCCACGCACGCCAGTCAGATGCGGACAAACCTAGAAACATAATCTGGGCGAACTGCTTGGGATTCGAACTCACAATCAGTGTACGGGACTTGAAAGTAGTTTCTGCTTGGCGATCATATTTACATATGTACCGGATCATTTCGTGATTTTGGATAGTTCATGCAACAGTACTACAGAGGAAGAGAATTCATGGATTTATTATAGAGAAGTTGACTTCAATAAATCCTCTTCCTCACGTGTAGAACTTCCAAATGCCATTCAAAAACTTAACAGTACTACTAGCCATTATATGATAAATATGGTGAAACATTTTTCATTGAATGATAACAACATCCTCAGACTGTGAATTATACGCATGTAATATTCCTTCTTCGTATCCAATATCATGTAAACAGGCTCAAATCTGTTTGTGGAGGAATCCAGGTATTCATGGGTGAGGACACTATGGGAAATAACAGGGGACTTCATTTATTGTGATGACCCAGACCATCCCCACATAAACATCAGAGCACCGGAGGTGAGGCTAGAGTAGATGAGCTTGTGGCTGCTTGTTCTTGTACAGACTGGTGCCACTTTTATAGTGCTAACCCACTGAAATACCATGCCGTAGTTTTAACAAAAGTTTGTTACTCAAACACAGAAGACACCTAGCCAACCAGGCCTTGTTTTATCCCTTCAATGCTGAACAGAAGACAGGGTAATAAAAGTAAGTATGGTTTTACACTGCTTTTAGCAATATTCCAGCAATATCAGGGCGGGGGACACCAGAAATGAGCTTCACACATTGTACCCATGTCAGGAATCGAACCTGGCTCTTCTGCCTGACGAGGGAACGCTTTAACAACTAGGCTATCCGACCGCCCGGTAATAAAAGGTCCCATCTTTTAATGTCTTTTGGTATTTCACGGCTGGGTGTCAAACAAGACTCAAAGAAGCTACAGGAACTCACCTTTACAAAATGATGTAAGACTTGACATGGTAAGGATGTGTTCAACTGGCTAGTTTGTAATAGATCCATGTACCCTCCCCTCCAAAACACCCACCCACCCTAATCACACCTCACCTTTTTGTGTTTCTCATTACTGCAGCATATCTGCACTTGTACACTGCTGGCATAATTAAATTTGACATAACGTTTCTAGTTAAAAAAACAATAAACTGCTATTGTGTCACTGTATTGTCTGGTCCACTGTCACTTGATGGTCGGGTCAAGACTTGATTACTTACAGGTCGACGTCTTATGGCAGTAGTGCACCTGAGTTGTATTAGGCAACAAACAAACAAACACTTTTTTATGTAAATTTTGTGAGTGGCGGGTGCTACCCATGGAGCAGGACATGCTTACCCTTTTCACAGACACTTGCTGTCATCACTGATTTTCAGTGATCCATTCACATAATTTTTACCACTATGTAGCATCACATGTAATCTCTTTTGGATGATAATCGAGACTGTTTTTTCTCTGGCATTGTCGTTTCATATTCCAATTACTGTGATACACCACCTGTGAAGACCCGGGTTAGCATTGGTCTTCAGCAACCAATGCTTGTGGTCAGAGGCGGTTAACATGATCAGGTTGTCAGGCTCCCTGACTTAGTTGATGCATTAGTGGTGCATGACCTGCACAGCCAATTGAGGTACTGTACATCAGAAAGGGATCAGTCCTGATCACATGACTGACAGACCCGTGAAGATTCGGGGTAGAATAGGTCTTCAGCAACCCATGCTTGCCGAAAAAGGCTACTATGCTTGAGGTAAGAGGCGGGATGGGCTGGTCAGGCTCGCTGACTTGGTTGACGCATCTGATAGCCGACGGAATATACATTGTTATTGTGAAGTTTTGTCATTAAACAACATATGTGACAAACCACGGGGCCCTGGGTACCCGGATCCTTGTCAGTTCCCATCCGAGTAACCTGTCATAATCATTTTGCTTTGGGTAAAAAAAAGAAAGAATAAATATACTTGATAATCGCAGATCGTTTCAACCATGGGTGATATTCATTGCAGGCTCGCTGACATGGTTGAAGCATGTCATCGATCCCAATTGCGTGGATGGATTCTCATGACATCAATCACTGGATTGTCTTGTCCAGACTCAATTATTTACAGACCGCAGTCATATAGCTGGAATATTGCTGAGTGTGGCGTTAAACAACAAACAAACAAACAAACAACTGACATGAAAACACATTTGAAATTTTAATACATAATATCAAGGTACAAAATATATTTTCAACATGCATGTTATTTTCAGTTGCACACCTCCGTACTGGCTTCCAACATCAATTATCAACTAATGTGATATCATAAGCCCTCCCTTTGTTAAACCTCAAGCAGTATCAGCCTTATCGATGACAACATGATATTTTCCAAACACTGAGTGCAGGTCGCTTTCACACCTACTCTGAGCCACAGCCAGTGATTTTACCTGAGACAAATGTCTTCAGGACATTTTCACGATTTGATCAACTTTTGTAAGGACATTATTCTACTTGTTATATGACCCAAGTTTTTACAATCGAGAGGAAAGTTTGGATGATGGTCAGCCAGCCAGGGGCTTTACACCCACTAACAGCTGGTCCCTTGACACAATAATGACTACAATCAAATGAAAGTACAAAATACAACACTTTCATCTGCACCATACAATGCAATGAACCTTGTTCACATAGGATCTAAGACATTTGATTTTATATTACTTGGTTACGGATCCAGTGACATTAAAAATATGGATTGTGGAAAAAAATAAAATTCCTGTCTTAAAACTATTTTATTTCTGCCGAACCTTTGATGATCATATATAAGAAATAAATATTATTCACAGCTTTACCTGATCTCCCAAGTAGTGTGCAGCATGCATTCTTTACCATTTTTGTAACACTTTATAAAAAATACAAACTTTTTGATAATATTTCCACAACCTACCAACAACATTTTAAAATTTAAAAATGTATAATAAAACCTGAGGATCTTGTTAAAGTTTCCATCATATTTCCACCACCGACCTGAGATTTTGAGACAACTATCCATAAACCAAGTAATAGAAAAAGTGGCCTAATGAACGATGTACATCTCATTATCTCTTTCCTCGCTTGGCTCCTTGAGGGGGTTTCTGTAGCTGGAAGGGCTTGTTGGTCCCTGCCGAGAGGGTGGACTGTCCGGGTGTGGCTCCGAGAATGGGGGGCACCCCTGCAGTTAGCGGGGTGGATGATGCAAAGGTGGCCGGAGCTGCTGGTGTGCTGAAGATTGAGGAGTTGAGGCCTCCTGCAACAGAAGGGAAGGAGTTTACAGCTGCTGGGAACAGTATTCACTTCCTGTGACAGGGTCATGCAAGGTGGACCGTGCATTTACGGGTTTGTTTCTTTTTTAACACCACACTCAGCAATATTCCAGCTATTTGGCGGCGGCCTGTAAATATCAAGCCTGGACCAGACAATCCAGTGAGCATCGATTTATGCAATTGGGAAATGGTGACATGCATCAACCAAGTCTACGAACCTGGCCACCCGATCCTGTTAATCGCCTCTTATGACAATCATGGGTTGCTGAAGACAATTCCTAAACAGGTATTGTCTGACACTGGATATAGGCCACCCATGATCGCCCCTTTAAATCACTACCAAAATATGCCTTTGGGGAAAGGATGACCCTACAATAAATACACATCAGGGTACAGCCGATATACATACATCACGCATCAGCAATGTTATATTGGCCAAGTCCACTTGTCTAATCTTATCACTGAAGACAATAAACTGATATTCCAAGCAAATATGATGCCTGCCCCTCCCCCCTTATGATGCCTGGGCCCTCCATTTTGATGACTGGTCAATAGATTATGATGCCTGGACCCTCCATTTTGATGACTGGTCAATAGATTATGATGCCTGGGCCCTCCATTTTGATGACTGGTCAATAGATTATGATGCCTGGACCCTCCATTTTGATGACTGGTCAATAGATTATGATGCCTGGACCCTCCATTTTGATGCCTAGGCCCCCCCATTATGATGCCTGCCTGTGTGGTGTGGTGTGGTGTGGTGTGGTGTGGTGTGGTGTGGTGTGGTGTGTGGTGTCTTTTAATGTCTTTTGGTATGACGTGCCCTCGGATTGAACCCCAGACCTTCTGCTCTCCGGGCAGACACTCTACGACTGGACCATGGAGGCGGTCACCACCATACTAATGACTGGGCCCCCCATTATGATATCTGTTCCTCCTTTATGATGCCTGGGCCCTCCATTATGCAACTTCCTGAGGCAAGTGAATTAACTGACTATTAAAGTCCAGTTTCCATCCTTGCCGAACTAGGCTGGAATTCCTGGTCTCGATCGTAGCGACACCAGTGGCTGTTAGGAGTTATGTTCCTTCTATGCCTCTCCTATGGACAATCAGATTCCACCTCTTGTTTCACTTTCTTTTGCTTCAAACAAAACGTCGGCGCCCAGTCAAGACGATCTGATCGATAATCAAGATCTAGATTTTGTGATAAAATGAGTCTTACATCGTGAAGTGCATCAAATCACGTGAGAACCTTGATTAAAAACATGAAAAGATTTAGAAAATATCTGTTGACAACAAGTTAGCGGTGCACATGCTTTGCAAATCCTGCAAGCGATCGAAATCTGCATGACAATTTACGAACCAGATTTTGATTTCGGAGTGCGACTCGTAAGTCCAGCCAACTCCTTAATAATACCAGAGAAGTTTGGCAAGGGTGGAAACTGGTCTTTTGCAGTCAGTTAACTCAGTTGCCTCGGTAAGATGTCCATTATGATGCCTGTCCCCCCCATTATGAAATCTTTGCCCCCATTATGAAATCTGTGCCCCCATTATGATATCTGTGCCCCCATTATGATATCTGTTCCCCCCCTTATGATGCCTAGGCCCTCCATTATGAGATCTGTTCCCCCCTTACAATGCCTGGGCCTTCCCTATGATGTCTGGGCCCTCCATTATAAGATCTCTTCCCCTACTTACGATGCCTAGGCCTCTCCCTATGATGCCTGGGCCCTCCTTACGATGCCTAGGCCTCTCCCTATGATTCCTGGTCCCCCATGATAACTGTTCCCCCATTATGATGCCTGGGCCTGAATTGGAGTTGTCTTAAACAACAGGAACATGTGGTATCAGTGCATCACAACAAGTGTCATAAAGTAATGTTCTGTGATACATGTTGTATCATGTACCAGTGTATCGCTGCATGTCAGATAAGCAGGGATTCATGCACAGCACAGTCTATAGAGCCATACAAGGGGTGGGCAGGGAAAAGTGACATATTGTGCAGTTAGAAATTTAGAAGCAATTTGGATTCAACTGAGTTTTGCCTCACCTCAGTGAAATTGTGTTAATCTAGTGCAACATTAAAGAAGGTGTACCCTAACAAGGTGTCAAGGAAACTTGGTACACGTGGAGACTTCGAGGGATATAGTATGGCACAACATATAGTCCGATGCATAAGAAAATCTGGCAAAACAAGGAAGGTGCTTACCACACAAGAGAATTCAAGGGAGTTAGTCTGGCACAACAGAGGATGCTTACCACACTAGAGGATTCAAAGGAGTTAGTCTGGCACAACAGAGGATGCTTACCACACTAGAGGATTCAAAGGAGTTAGTCTGGCACAACAAGGAGGATGCTGACCACACTAGAGGATTCAAGGGAGTTAGTCTGGCACAACAGAGGACGCTTGCCACACTAGAGGATTCAAGGGAGTTATTCTGGCACAACAAGGAGGATGCTGACCACACTAGAGGATTCAAGGGAGTTAGTCTGGCACAACAGAGGACGCTTGCCACAGTGGAGGATTCAAGGGAGTTAGTCTGGCACAACAAGGAGGATGCTGACCACACTAGAGGATTCAAGGGAGTTAGTCTGGCACAACAGAGGACGCTTGCCACACTAGAGGATTCAAAGGTGTTAGTCTGGCACAACAAGGAGGAAGCTTGCCACACTAGAGGATTCAAAGGAGTTGGTCTGGCACAACAAGGAGGATGCTGACCACACTAGAGGATTCAAAGGAGTTGGTCTGGCACAACAAGGAGGTGCTTGCCACACTAGAGGATTCAAAGGTGTTAGTCTGGCACAACAAGGAGGTGCTTGCCACACTAGAGGATTCAAAGGTGTTAGTCTGGCACAACAAGGAGGTGCTTGCCACACTAGAGGATTCAAAGGTGTTAGTCTGGCACAACAAGGAGGTGCTTGCCACACTAGAGGATTCAAGGGAGTTAGTCTGGCACAACAAGGAGGTGCTTGCCACACTAGAGGATTCAAAGGAGTTGGTCTGGCACAACAAGGAGGGTGCCTACCACACTAGAGGATTCAAGGGAGTTAGTCTGGCACAACAGAGGATGCTTGCCACACTAGAGGATTCAAGGGAGTTATTCTGGCACAACAGAGGATGCTGACCACACTAGAGGATTCAAGGGAGTTAGTCTGGCACAACAAGGAGGTGCTTGCCACACTGGAGGATTCAAAGGTGTTAGTCTGGCACAACAAGGAGGTGCTTGCCACACTAGAGGATTCAAGGGAGTTGGTCTGGCACAACAAGGAAGGTGCTGCCCACACTAGGATTCAAGGGAGTTAGTCTGGCACAACAAGGAGGGTGCCTACCACACTAGAGGATTCAAGGGAGTTAGTCTGGCACAACAGAGGATGCTTGACACACTAGAGGATTCAAGGGAGTTGGTTTGGCACAACAAGGAGGATGTTTGCCACACTAGAGGATTCAAGGGAGTTAGTCTGGCACAACAAGGAAGGTGCTGACCACACTAGATGATTCAAGGGAGTGAGTCTGGCACAACAGAGGACCCTTACCACACTAGAGGATTCAAGGGAGTTAGTCTGGCACATCAAGGAGGGTGCTGACCACACTAGAGGATTCAAGGGAGTTGGCCGGCACAACAAGGAGGTGCTTGCCACACTAGAGGATTCAAGGGAGTTAGTCTGGCACAACAAGGAAGGTGCTTGCCACACTAGAGGATTCAAGGGAGTTATTCTGGCACAACAAGGAAGGTGCTTGCCACACTAGAGGATTCAAGGGAGTTTTTCTGGCACAACAAGGAAGGTGCTTGCCACACTAGAGGATTCAAAGGTGTTAGTCTGGCACAACAAGGAAGGTGCTTGCCACACTTGAGGATTCAAGGGAGTTATTCTGGCACAACAAGGAAGGTGCTTGCCACACTGGAGGATTCAAAGGTGTTAGTCTGGCACAACAAGGAGGATGCTTGCCACACTAGAGGATTCAAAGGTGTTAGTCTGGCACAACAAGGAAGGTGCTTGCCACACTAGAGGATTCAAGGGAGTTAGTCTGGCACAACAAGGAGGATGCTGACCACACTAGAGGATTCAAGGGAGTTAGTCTGGCACAACAGAGGACCCTTACCACACTAGAGGATTCAAAGGTGTTAGTCTGGCACAACAAGGAAGGTGCTTGCCACACTAGAGGATTCAAGGGAGTGAGTCTGGCACAACAGAGGACCCTTACCACACTAGAGGATTCAAGGGAGTTAGTCTGGCACAACAAGGAGGGTGCTGACCACACTAGAGGATTCAAGGGAGTTGGTCTGACACAACAAGGAAGGTGCTTACCACACCAGAGGATTCAAGGGAGTTAGTCTGGCACAACAAGGAGGATGCTGACCACACTAGAGGATTCAAAGGTGTTAGTCTGGCACAACAAGGAAGGTGCTTGCCACACTAGAGGATTCAAGGGAGTGAGTCTGGCACAACAGAGGACCCTTACCACACTAGAGGATTCAAGGGAGTTAGTCTGGCACAACAAGGAGGGTGCTGACCACACTAGAGGATTCAAGGGAGTTGGTCTGACACAACAAGGAAGGTGCTTACCACACCAGAGGATTCAAGGGAGTTAGTCTGGCACAACAAGGAGGATGCTGACCACACTAGAGGATTCAAAGGAGTTGGTCTGGCACAACAAGGAGGTGCTTGCCACACGAGAGGATTCAAAGGTGTTAGTCTGGCACAACAAGGAGGTGCTTGCCACACTAGAGGATTCAAGGGAGTTAGACTGGCACAACAAGGAGGGTGCCTACCACACTAGAGGATTCAAGGGAGTTAGTCTGGCACAACAGAGGATGCTTGCCACACTAGGGGATTCAAGGGAGTTGGTCTGGCACAACAAGGAAGGTGCTGCCCACACTAGAGGATTCAAGGGAGTGAGTCTGGCACAACAAGGAGGTGCTTGCCACACTAGAGGATTCAAGGGAGTTGGTCTGGCACAACAAGGAGGGTGCTGACCACACTAGAGGATTCAAGGGAGTTGGTCTGGCACAACAAGGAGCTGCTTGCCACACTAGAGGATTCAAGGGAGTTGGTCTGGCACAACAAGGAGGTGCTTACCACACAAGAGGCTTCAAGGGAGTTAGTCTGGCACAACAAGGAGGTGCTTGCCACACTAGAGGATTCAAGGGAGTTAGCCTGGCACAACAAGGAGGGTGCTTGCCACACTAGAGGATTCAAGGGAGTTAGTCTGGCACAACAAGGAGGTGCTTGCCACACTAGAGGATCCAAGGGAGTTGGACTGGCACAACAAGGGGGTGCTTGCCACACAAGAGGATTCAAGGGAGTTGGTCTGGCACAACAAGGAGGGTGCTGACCACACTAGAGGATTCAAGGGAGTTAGTCTGGCACAACAAGGAGGGTGCTGACCACACTAGAGGATTCAAGGGAGTTGGTCTGACACAACAAGGAAGGTGCTTACCACACCAGAGGATTCAAGGGAGTTAGTCTGGCACAACAAGGAGGATGCTGACCACACTAGAGGATTCAAAGGTGTTAGTCTGGCACAACAAGGAAGGTGCTTGCCACACTAGAGGATTCAAGGGAGTGAGTCTGGCACAACAGAGGACCCTTACCACACTAGAGGATTCAAGGGAGTTAGTCTGGCACAACAAGGAGGTGCTTACCACACAAGAGGCTTCAAGGGAGTTAGTCTGGCACAACAAGGAGGTGCCTGCCACACTAGAGGATTCAAGGGAGTTAGCCTGGCACAACAAGGAGGGTGCTTACCACACTAGAGGATTCAAGGGAGTTAGCCTGGCACAACAAGGAGGTGCTTGCCACACTAGAGGATTCAAGGGAGTGGGACTGGCACAACAAGGGGGTGCTTGCCACACAAGAGGATTCAAGGGAGTTGGTCTGGCTTAACAAGGAAGGTGCTTGCCACACAAGAGGATTCAAGGGAGTTGGTCTGGCACAACAAGGAGGTGCTTGCCACACAAGAGGATTCAAGATATTTAGTCTGGCACAACAGAGGATGCTTACCACACTAGAGGATTCATTTGAGTTAGTCTGGCACAACAGAGGATGCTTACCACACTAGAGGATTCAAGGGAGTTAGTCTGGCACAACAGAGGACGCTTACCACACTAACCTAGAGGCTTGATTGCGGCCGGTGTAGCCATAGTAGAAGAGGACAGCAGAGAGGAGAGCCCACTCAGCTGTGGAGCCGACCCAGACAGGCCTACATACAGAAGAAGGAACAGCTGGCTACACAGGAAGGCCTACACAGGCTACTAGTTTCAGGAAAGCTAGTGGTCCTATTCAAAAATGTTCATTTGCAATATCCACCACCAAGGCAAAGTTAGTTTATCATTTCATAGACTCAGAACTTTTTTAAACTATACTTGATTTCAGATACTTTAATTTTCTAGGACATATTCCTAAATGTCCTAAAGACTTTTATTTTGTAATGATTTAGAATTATGTAAAAAAAATTGTAATTGTCTCAGCTCTGAAACCTGGCAACCATGCACTTGACAATCAATCCTTGTACAAGAAAAAAAGAAAATCATATTTGAATGGATCTGGGAGGTGATTGACATAAGATTTGAGTTTCTAGATGTGACTGTAAGTCACACGTTACATACGTGTATGCACTGTGGAGACAAATCTCTGAGACATACGCCCATTGTGTATAGACCCAACACAACGTTCCTATGTTTAATCATGCCGTATTCATCAAAAGACGATAGTCAATATTACAATGAAATCTAAGTTTACAAATATTTGTCAATGAAACTGGCTTCAGAGGCTTTTATCAGAAACTGTTCATGACGACAAAAGCAATTACAGGTGCAGGACTTTATCAAGAACACTTACTGCATGATGACATGACTGAACTTAACATTTCAAGTAATGTTGCAGTCCTGCAAAACGTGCTGAGAAACACACATATAACCATGGGCTAATGTCTGAGAGATAGTGTATACTACAAGAAAAGGTCAACTATATTCTGATACAAAGCTTACAAAATGAAAGGCATAAATATATAACATATTCAGGGATGAAAGTGTACACTTTAACATTTGAAATATCAGCAAAGAATGAACCACCCACTGACCAATGTTGACACCCATGACCACCAACCCACCAGTGTTGACATACACGACCACCCACCAGTGTTGACACACAACCCTCCACCGACCAGTGTTGACATACACAACCATCCACCCACGCACAATTGTTGACATACACGACCACCCACCCACCCACCAGTGTTGACATACACGACCACCCACCCACCAAACAAGTGTTGACATACACGACCACCCACCCACCTACCAGTGTTGACATACACGACCACCCACCCACCCTCCAGTGTTGACATACACGACCATACTCCCACCCACCAGTGTTGACAGCAAGACCACCCACCCACCCACCAGTGTTGACATACATGACAATTCCCGACCCACCAGTGTTGACATACACAACCACCCACCCACCCACCAGTGTTGACCAGCAGGACCACCCACCAACCAGTGTTGACATACATGACCATATTCCCACCCACCAGTGTTGACCAGCAAGACCACCCACCCACCAGTGTTGACATACACGACAATCCACCCACCCACCAGTGGTGACATACACGACCATACTCCTACCCACCAGTGTTGACCAGCAAGACCACCCACCCACCAGTGTTGACATACACGACAATCCACCCACCCACCAGTGTTGACATACACGACCATACTCCCACCCACCAGTGTTGACATACACGACCACCCATCCACCCACCAGTGTTGACATACACGACCATAATCCAACCCACCAGTGTTGACATACACGACAATCCACCCACCCACCAGTGTTGACATACACGACCAGCCACCCACCAAATTTAGTAAAATCTAAATATTTTTTACATTTGTATACTTATCCTGCATTACTCCGTATTGCATTTACTGCTATGTTTGACAGAGAGACGAACTGTGTGAGATCCAGCTGCTGAAGAAAGTTGTCCCAACCAGCCCAGGAGGCAGCGCCCTCTCACAGTCGGCACGTGAACCGGAAGTCATGACGTCACACCAAAAGACATAACTGCTTTAAACATAACATCTGAAACTTCGTGGGGAGGTAGCGTAGCGAAAGGGAGGGAACTTAGACTTCGTAATGCAGGATAAGTATACAAATGTAAAAAATATTTAGATTTTACTAAATTTTTTAACTTATCCTGCATTACTCCGTATTGCATCTTTATCAGACGGCTTGGCCGGTGGGCATACTTGCAGATGTGAACCATATTAAACCCTCGTCAAGGTCCGATGAATCCGCACCGCATACAAGTGATGACCGGAACATCTACGACCATTCCTGTCTTCAGGAAAGAAGAGTCGATGCAAAAACGAAACGCCCGAATAGGTAACCGAAATACAATGAGGCGTGTAGCCAAAATATATAACTTACCGAAGAGCGAAAGCGAAACGCAGTAGAACCTAGAGCTAATCTGAGGTGATAAACACCAGAGAGTTCGACGGGCCCCGCTCGGGGAATCGAAGAATCAGCGGCGTCGGCGGCAAAATCTACGACCAATCCCAAGAGCGAATGCGAAACGCAGGAGAGCCCTCTAGGCTGGAGGCAAGGAACACCGGTGAGGTCGACGGGCACCGCTCAGGTACCAGAGAAGCAGCGGCGTTGGCGTCGGCGTCGGCGCCGGTGACCACATCTACTACCATTCCTGTCGTCAGGAAACGAGAGTTGATGCAAAAAGTAAAACCCGGATAGGTGACAGCAATAGAATGAGTCGGGTAACCCAAAACTAAAACTGACCTAAGAGCGAATGCGGAACGCAAGAGAGCCGTCTCGTCTGGGGTGATAAACACCAGAAAGGTCGACGGGCCCCGCTCAGGGTATCGGAGAATCAGTGGCGTCGGAGATAGATGACCTGTTGGGCTACAACCAGGGACCAAAACTGTGAACGCCGGCGACAACTTTCAAGGCTACATCACGGAAGTAGTGGTTGGTGAAGGCGGTGTCCGATCGCCACGAGCAGGCTTCCCTGAACGACGGGATGGAACAGTATACCGTGAAGAACCAGTGTAAATACGATCGCCCTGATCTCATTTTATTTCAGGTAATAGCCTTTGGGGGGAGGGTCCAATCCGGCGGCTCATACGCTTTAAGGATGACCGCCCGGAGCCACAGGGAAAAGTATTCCGGCTGACCAACGACAGCGACGAAGGGGAGACCGGCAGAAAAAGGTGTTTCCTAGACTTGCGGCAGTCTTTAGATCGTAGAATAACCTTCAGTGCCCTTACTGGGCATAATGACGCTCATCCTCATCCTCGGCACCCACACTGGACGAGGGGGGAGGGGACAAGGAATGATCTATCAGGCTGTCCTGGGAGTTGAATCTTTACGCTGACGTCCCAGTACGGTCCATGATGAACGGCGCCCTGGGTACCGCATTCGAACCGGGCATGGGAGGCGTCGAGGGCGTGCTGTACATGGACTCGAGCGGCAGTAGTCAAAACCAGTAGAAACACCCGTCTTCTACTTAAGGTCGAAGAAGGAAGACGAGGGGAGTGGTTCGAAGGGTATTGAAGACCACATTCAGATCCAACGCAGGCGGTCCGAACTTGGTCTTCAGGTCTTCAAGACTGAACGAGCGCAGCCAGGCCCGTAGGTCGGGAATTTTCGTCTTTCTCCGATCGTCCGGGATGGCCAGAACGGAGTAGATGGCGACCAGGTATGTGGGGGTGGTAAGCCCTTCAACCGATGGGTGCTACACAAGTACAGAAGGAACTGATCCAGGATCTGCGGTGACGCTGTCATCGGATCCTGGTGTTTGTCAGAACAAAATGCCTGGAACAAGCATCAGTTATCAGCATACAGTCCCCCTGTAGATGGACGGTGGGCTGAAGCAATAGCCTTGGTCGCTCTAGCCGAATAGCCCTTGGCTTTCTGCATGTGTGTCAGGCGTGCAGACGATAACATGCGGGTATGAGGGTGTGGCAACAGACCGTGTGGATGGAGCAGAAGGTTGGACCACACCGGAAGTTCCAGGGGTTGTCTCTGGCTATGTTTCGGAGGTCGATAACCCAACTTCTGGCTGACCAATAAGGCGAGACCAAAGTCAATGGCAGGGGTCGAGTGGCCTGGATCTCTGAAGAACCGTGGGAGGGAGAACCGGAGTCGGAAAAGCGTACGCGCGTAATCCTTCTCAGGAACGATGGAAGGCTTCGACTGCCACAGCGGTCGTATCCGGCACAGGTGGAATGGAAGACGACAGCTGGCCACATTCAGATATGAGGCAAACAGATCTAGGGTTGGGGTGTCGACCGTTTCACATAGTCTGGCCCGAGGCGCCGGAGAGCGTGAGGCGTCGGAGAGCTTGAGGCGCCTGGAACGCCGAAGATGGTGATTCTCGGGGGCGCCGGTCGAGTTTGTGGCGCCGGGAGAGGGGCGAGAACTCTGGGTCCGCAAACACCACACTACGGTGACGTCGTCAGTGGACACGATCAACAGGGCGTGACCGAGAATGCACTGTCAGCAAGTGCCGTCCTGGATAAGCATTTATCTCGAGGCTGTTGCTGTGCCAATGGTGTTGATCTTTGGATCACAGGTGGTCACAATGTGGGCTGGCGTGGGCCACTAGCCACTGACAAGGTGGCAGGGGAGGTAGTCAGCAACAGGGGTCTGCGATTGCGTACCGTCGGTACGATTCGGAAAAAAGGTGTGATCGCCTGCGAGCCAACCTCAAGTAGACGAAGTAAACCAGCTTCACAATCGACCGCCGGGGCATCGACGTAACCGGGTAGTAGGAAGTCGAGGCAATATGGCCATTGCACGAAGTAATGAGATCGTTTTCATCCCTGAAGCGGCGTATAAGTACTCCTGTTCTTATATCGAGGTGACGATGGAGGACGACAACACGATACGAGGCAGGTATGCAACAGGGGTCAGTGGGACGGCCGAGGGACTTTAAGTATCAAATCGACACTGTGTCCGGTAGTCAAGGCGGAAGATAGGACTACCTGTCGTAGTCGAAAAGATCAAACCGGACGAAGGAAGGCGATCTTTTCCATCCCTTGAACGCCTATAGGCGCTATCGTTCTTATAGTGAAGGGTTGATGAAACAAGGTTCCTCGTGACAGCCGTGTTGGTAGAGGAGGTCTATTGTTTCCAACATCCGTGCATGGATGGACTGCGACAGGCGCCTGGTTGAGTGGTATCACCAAGCGTACAGGTAGACATGGAAACCAATCTGTAGAAATACATGGCACCCCTTGCCATGGTAAGTTGACCTAAATCCGGTCGGAGTTGTTGACAGTCCGAGTACTTGACACGTGACATGTAAATCACTCTGCGCAGTAGCCGAGAAAACCGCCTTGGAGTCGGAACTGAGGTGCAAACTCCACACACAGACAATCCTCAATGAACTGTGTGAGAGACGATCAAGTGGTGTACCCGAGTTTTGCGATAAAACACGGAACCCCATGGGCGTCGTGGAAAACCCGGGGAGCGCCGAGGAAGAGTCTCTCTCAGGAACGCTGGCGCTAGGGTAGGGTAGAACAGCGTTGATGTCTGCGATGTCGACGAAGTAAACTCTTTGTAAGTGGATGTCGTCGTCGAATCTGATACAGACGCTGTTCACATGACGCTCTGTTTCGATGGAAACCCGCAGGTTATCTCTCCGGAATCATAGCGCTTTAAACGACGGGATTATGGATAACGTCTCAGTGGGCAAGTTGAATCAGACCAACTGTCTATTGGTTGAAATGATTCCACCCAGGAAGTAGAACGATAGTCACGATCCCGAAGACCGACGGGAGAGTAGCGAAAGGAGCGGCGACAGTTGTTTCACCATGCTTCTCCGTGTGACGAGTTATGAGACGGCAGCAAGAGAAGAGGGCAGTGGCGCCGGGGAGGCGATTGCCGATGGTGCCCCTTAAGCCGCAGTAGAAGATCGGATGGTCGGCTCGTTGATCTGAGCTTGATAAAGCTTGTTGATCTGAAGCTTGTTGAGCGCCGAAGACATCAGAGGATGCGGAGGCGCCGGAGCGCGGAGACATCAGAGGCGCCGAGACATAAGCGGCGCCGAGTTATCAGCTTGTCATGAACAAGTCATGAAGCTTGTTGAGCGCCGAGACATCAGCGGCGCCGAGTCATCGGAAGCGCCGAGTCATCAGAGGCGCCGGGAGCGCCGGGAGCGCCGAGTCATCGGAGGCGCCGGGGGCGCCGGAGACATCAGCGTTGACGGTGTTGGAGACCGTGAACGGTCGTATGTCGTGCCAGGGGAGGCAGACTCTACGTTGGGAGCGCTGGAGCCGCCGGTGGAGTAGGAGACCGTGAACGGTCGTATGTCGTGCCATGGGAGGCAGACTCTACGTTGGGAGCGCTGGAGCCGCCGGTGGAGTAGGAGACCGTGAACGGTCGTATGTCGTGCCATGGGAGGCAGACTCTACGTTGGAAGCCGCCGTGAAGCTCCGCTGAGCGCTGCTGCCGTCAACGTAGGTGGGGGTCGACGAGCACGTTGAGCGAGGTGTGTCCTGGATACTCGCATGAGCTGAAGGATCACAGCGACGAATGACTGCAACATCGGCACTGCCTTGTGAAAGTACAGGGCGTCGTACAATCACGGCAGAAAGGGGCGGCCCCGACCAGATTTGTTCCCGCGGAAACAAGTGCAGCGAGGCAGAAAATCTGGAATTTAAGCAAAACATAACTATGTGGCAAAGCCACAAAGTGCGTGAAGCATAATGTGTGGCCAATCACAAAGTATGGGAAGCATAAAGTAACTCAAAAACAGTATATTTTATTAAAGTTTATGAGATAAACAAGTACGCTAAAAGGGAGCGAAAAGGCAAAGCCTTAAGCAAACACGTAACCATGTGGCAAAACCACAGAGTACGGGAGACATAATGTAACTCATAAACTTTGTATTATATTGAAGTTTATGAGAAGAAACAATTACGCTGAGAGGTAGCGAAAAGGCAAGGCTTTAAGCACACCAAAACAACATACATAAATGTAATGTATTACCCAAGCCAAAGAGAGAATTCAAAACGCAGAACACGACATTACGTGGCCACGTGGTGAATGACCAAAATGGCGGGAAAGAAAACAAAATGGCGGGAACAACATTGCGCCCGTAAATTACTGTGACGTGAGCCACAGACGAGCGATAAACGTTACAATTTACGAATGGGAAGACCCTAAGGTCACGGCCCATAACAGGTAACAATGTAGCAGCATATAATGAATGTAGAAACACGCAAAATATAAAAAACAAATAATAAGCTTTAATTTCCACAAGGGATACAAAGTACGTCCGTCCGTGGGGTTGACAAAGCAGTTATGTCTTTTGGTGTGACGTCATGACTTCCGGGTCACGTGCCGACTGTGAGAGGGCGCTGCCTCCTGGGCTGGTTGGGACAACTTTCTTCAGCAGCTGGATCTCACACAGTTCGTCTCTCTGTCAAACATAGCAGTAAATGCAATACGGAGTAATGCAGGATAAGTTAAAAAATATCACTTTTGAAATCCACCAACGGGTGGTATGAAAAGAATTTCATTAGAAGGAACATTCTCATCCCTGCATACTGAAGATATTACCCATCACCAGTTACAGAAAGCCTAATACTTGGAATGGCACAGGAGCATCATAGTGTAGTATTCATGGGCCTACATACCTGTTGTCGAAGTGAGACCAGCGCCCCCAAACAGTCCGCCTGATGTGCCTAGTGCCGAAGTGCCCAGCCCACTAGCAGCGCCACCTAGTGTACTGGTACTGAGTCCTACTACGGGAGGGGCACCTGTTGAGAAGATAAGCGAAGACCTCTAAACAACAGAAAACAGTAAAAAAACTACAAGCCTTTCGGCATTATTTCTCAGCTGATTCTAATCTCACTAAATGACCAAATTAGTGAGCTCACTTGGCCAAAAGAAAATGTACACAAAAAGGATAACATAGTTATAGATGTAGAATATGGTAGAGATGAGCACGCATAGCATTCTGCAACAGAATAGTTAATACAAACTAGGTAGAAACAGTTACCAGTCAAGTACCCTCAGAGAATTCCACTACTTTTACAGGTCTGTGCTGAGCTCACATTTTGTGTTTGACACCTCAACAAGTGTGAGTGAGTGAGTGTAGGTTTATGCCGCTTGTAGCAATATTCCAGCAATATCATGGCGGGGGACACCAGAAATGGGCTTCACACTCTCTTTGCAAGTGTTTATGTAAATTTCTTGCTTGTGATTTTTGTTTCTATAGATTTGTCATATTATTTTCATATGAACCAAGGAAAAAATCTTATTTTCGATTTTTTAGTAGCAAATTCGTAACAAATACAGAAAATTCAAGACAGTTGGCACCTATAAAAGATAAACGACTAAAACCACTCTAAGAGAACAGAACACTATTCACATGGTTAACTCCCTGACCTGCAGGCTGCTGTGACCTATTAAGGACGGAGGCCATGGCAGCAGCGGCAGCATTGGTCATCCCCGTGAACGGCGTGGGTCCGGCAGGGTCCAGTGTACGTGCGGGCGTGATGCTCACTGGAGCCTTCTGCTGTTTCTCAAAAATATTCTTGGTGTCTCCATGGAAGATCTTTCTGTAGTTCAGGTAATGTTCCTTCTGGGTCTGTTGAAGCAAGGATCAAGAGATGAATTGGTGCAGAGGTGCCAGGCCCAAACAAAATAACAAACTGCTTGATATGCAAAAACGGAATAGACCATCACATGGTAAAACACCTGTACCTCATTCAGTTATAAAGTTATAAAGTATGTGTTGGTTACATGTGTGAGTGAGTGAGTTGGGTTTAACACAACTTTGAACAATATTCCAGTTATATCACAGAGTGTCAGCTTAATGTGGGAGGAAAGCCCGAAGTGATGCAGGTCTTAGATGTTTACCACTAAAGTAAAACCCACCGGCCTATAGCGCTGACAAACCTATTAACATAATCTTAATACTTATCTTACGATATATAATCAATATATAATCATATCTACTGAAAAGGGCTCAACATTTGATTTGGCATTACCACTTCCTGAACTTTCAGTGACCTTGACCTTGTATCAGATTACCAAAAAGATGATTACATGTTCAAAGCATCAGCCTAAATATATGTGCCAAGTTTCTCTGCTATGTGAGAAAAGTAGTTTTGTTCTGTTTGTTTCTTGTTTAATGCCACACTCAGCAATATTCCTGTAAATAATTGAGTCTTTGATTGAGGCGCATAGACATGCTAAAAAAGAGTCACTGAGCCTGACCACCCGACTAAGTCACCGGTTTTGTTGCTTTTGTTTGTCTGATGTTAAACGCCGCACTCCAGCTATATGACTGTGGTCTGTAAATAATCGAGTACGGACCAGACAATGCAGTTATTTTATCATGAGCATCAACCCATGCAATTGACATAAGATGACGTGGATCAACCAAGTCAGCGATCCTGACCGCCCAAACCCGTTAGTCGCCTCGTACGACAAGCATGAAGGCCTATACTAACCCGGATCTTCACAGATGTAAGTCACCTGTAACAACTAGCATAAGTCATTAGGGACAAAAGTTAGGTTGTACCTTGACAGCCTCATTGACTTGATGAAGCTGAGCAGCGAGGGCTATGAAGGTTTCGTGCAGCTTCTTCATCAGAGCTATCAATTCTGCAGTAAAACATAGCACGAAAGTCATCTTCACGGCACACACAAAATCTGAACTGAATCACAAGGAGGCTGTACAGAAGAAAGACTGATTATTTATCTTATTAAACAATATCTTATTGTCATAGTACTGAGCATGATGACAACATTCTGGGCTACTTTGTCTAATTCTGATGAAATATCAAATATGTTTGACGAAACTATGAAAACTAGTAAAACCTAGATATTTTTTACATTTGTATACTTATCCTGCATTACTCCTTAATGCATTCACTGCTCACCTTTTGACAAAAGTGAAAGCTGTGACTGATCCTGCTTGAAGAACTAAAGATGTCGTTCCGTTCTGAAGCAGGACCCCAAATCACCAGCTGCCATGTCATACCGGAAGTGATAGATGCATGATGTCTCCATATCACTGTTGGTCACAGTAAATTGTCTGAAGATATTATAGTGGGAGGCAGGTCTGTGACGGGTGGGCCCTTACCTGTAGTAATCGTCACGTCCTGAGCTGACGTAAGCAATCCAAGAAGCACTTGCAATTGGTGAAGAGTAATGGGCTACTATAGGGCGGTGTACAGATGACGTAGAATTTTTATCCATCTGTCCCTAGGAACTGAAAGGTCTAGATCTGCCTGAAATAACATCCTATGAATTAGAGTTGGTAGGATGGAATTAGTTCCGACTTCGTCTCGTTGATTATTCATCCCAGTTGATAAAGTAGGCTCCTGGTGAAGTCCCGGTGACGAGTTGGGATCGCCGTTACTGCATGCTTCAGTTTGCAGTCGTCTATGTACAACTTAACCAAATGTTCCTCAGGTTCATATAGGCGGCTTTTTGGTAAGGCGGGTAAAAAGCCATGGGGGCCACTGAAATGCCTTGAATTGGAACCAGAGGAACTGCTGGTTGTTGGGGTGGATAGGCAGTGCATGAGCCACCGATGACTCTAAGGTATTGTGCTGATAAGCAGGTCCAGGCATCTGAACAAAGGGAGGCCTATGTGCCTGTTGATGTATGGCTTGCATAAACAAATGCATCCACATCAGGTCCATAAATGGCGCCGACGAGTAGAGCGCTTGGGGTGTTGCCAGAAGCCTTGAATGTTGGATAGCGCAGGTGTAGCCACTATGCCTGTAGGCGCAACCATGGTAACGTTGGCAAGTAGCGTAGGCATAGTCGCACTGCCAATAGGTGCAGGCATTGTGGATGCGTCTTGAGGCGCAAATGTTGAGGCTGTAGTCGGTGTAGACATCATGGTAGATACGCCCGAAGGCGCTGAGGCAGTTGAGGCTCTCTGAGGAACGTAAGCCGAAGCTATAATAGATATAGCCAATGTGTTAGTCTGAGATAAAGCCAATGTAGATGCTGTCAAAGCCCTGTGCGCTAGGGCTGTAATAGGTGACTGTAAGGTGTCAGCTTCCCTTGAAGTCATAGGCTAAGTAGTGATTACGGCTTTCACTGCTGTCAAAAGGTGAGCAGTGAATGCATTAAGGAGTAATGCAGGATAAGTTAAAAAAATTACTGTCAGCAACAACACATCAATAACAAGCAGTCCAGGATATCAGAAATGGATAAAGGGATAATTCTAGGGTGGGGCCTTATGCTTTTAGCCCCTAAATTTGAAAAAAGGCCCACATTTTCAAATGAAATAGGGTATGTTAACATTATGCCTCTGGAAAGTTTAAAATTTTCACATAGAGGGCCCATGTCAGAAAATTCCTAGAGCAACCCTGTAGATGGCACGAGAAATCTAAAACAGCGTACATTAACAACCAACAAAGTCCCCCAGTTTAACAACTAGATCTGACATTTGATAAGCTGACAGAGCCAGGGATACTTCTATTCCAGAGCCCCCAAGGGTGGAAAGTCCAATAAGTCAGTCTGGCAAAACCGATGGCAGCAGACGTGCCAACCACAGGTGCACATAAAGGACAGAAGTACAGCAAGCAGGCAGAGAAGGGTGTTGAGGGAGAGCATACCGGCCGGGGAATGTCTGGTGGGCTGGTGGAGGGCGGCCAGATGGTTCTCAAGGGTCTCGATCTGCTGGCGGTATGTGATCATCCTCCCTTCAAACTCCTCCACCAGCTGCTGGAAGTAGCTGCAACATGAGGAAGACAGTCTGTAGTTAGTTGTGATGCGGCAACACACAGTGAGTGAGTGAGTGAGTTGGATTTTGTGCTGCTTTTAACATTATTCCAGTTATATCATGGCGTGTCAGCTTAATGTGGGAGGAAAGCCCGAAGTGATGCAGGTCTCAGACGTTTACCACTTCGGTTAAACCCACAAGCACGGGTATGATGCTGATAAACCTAGAAACATAATCGGGGCGAACCGGGATTCCAACCTCCAATCATAGGTTTCTGGCGAGCCCAAGGGACGTAACTCTGCACACCAACTCGCGGCACCTTAGATGACTGGGCCACATATGCCCCTAGCAACACAGAGACAGCATAAGGCTTAGGCATCGTAATAAGTGTGATGATTGAATCCTTTGGCGCAATCCTGGGCAGGGATGTATTGTGTTTGTGTGCCACCCAGTAAGGTGTACAACACACTTACATGGTTGGTGCTGTGTTCTCGTACTGGAGTCCTGGAGGGATGTCCTTGGTCCTCTGGGCCATCTCAGCATTCTTCAGCTCCTAGGTAACAAGGAAGACTGTTCAGAGATTTAACTGGGAACATGTTTCTTCAATCAGATCGAGTGTGGATGTGACCAATACCTGGTGAAATAGGTTGGCCAGGTATCTTGATAACTGGAGTTCTGGGATTCTTGAGAGAGAATATTATTTAGGTTTCAATACATCATTAAAATCTCCCAACATAGATAATGAACAAATGTGGATATTTTTCAGTATTTTTAAATCATTTATTTTCAAAGAGGCAAGAAAACTCACAGAAAGAACTTTTCTTAGCAATAGCAGTGTCAGAAATTGGCCCTAGTGCTATGGTCCTTGCCAAACTGCCCGATGGTTAACACATCCATCATAAGGGCTAGTAGAAATTTGATGGTTTTGCAAAATTTTATCATTATAAGGACAAGTAGACAAAAACAGTTGGTTTCTATAGTTGAATAGACAATAAGGTTTTACAATGTTTTTAATAATTTCCTGCAATATCACTACATGGGACACATGAAACCCACATGAGTTAGTGAAACAGGGTTCTCAGGGTGACAAGCAAACACTTTAGTCACCAGTCTACCCATCTTATTCTGACAGTATGACTTACATGTGCCATTTCCTTCTTGAGTTTGTCCACAGCACACGCGTTCCTCTGGAGTCCATTGGAGACGACAGAGAGCAGCTGCTTGAGAGCGGCGACATCCTCCTGCACCTTCAGCATGGGTTTGGTGGACATGCGAGCGATGTCCTCACGGACTGTCTTCTCCTCCTTAACATACTTCCTGGAACACAAGCACTCATACAGCACCTTGACATGTCACCAATGACTGGCTTCCTGCACACACACTTCCTGGAACACAAGCACTCATACAGCACCTTGACATGTCACCAACAAGTGGCTTCCCACACACATACTTCGTGAAACACAAGCACTCATACAGCACCTTGACATGTCACCAACAAGTGGCTTCCCACACACATACTTCCTGGAACACAAGCACTCATACAGCACCTTGACATGTCACCAATGACTGGCTTCCCTCACACACACTTCCTGGAACAAAAGCACTCATACAGCACCTTGACATGTCACCAATGACTGGCTTCCCGCACACACACTTCCTGGAACACAAGCGATCATACAGCACCTTGACACGTCACCAATGACTGGCTTCCCGCACACACACTTCCTGGAACACAAGCACTCATACAGCACCTTGACATGTCACCAATGACTGGCTTCCCGCACACACACTTCCTGGAACAAAAGCACTCATACAGCACCTTGACACGTCACCAATGACTGGCTTCCCACACACACACTTCCTGGAACACAAGCGATCATACAGCACCTTGACATGTCACCAATGACTGGCTTCCCGCACACACACTTCGTGGAACACAAGCGATCATACAGCACCTTGACACGTCACCAATGACTGGCTTCCCGCACACACACTTCGTGGAACACAAGCGATCATACAGCACCTTGACATGTTACCAATGACTGGCTTCCCGCACACACACTTCCTGGAATAAAAGCACTCATACAGCACCTTGACACGTCACCAATGACTGGCTTCCCGCACACACACTTCCTGGAACACAAGCGATCATACACAACCTTGACATGGCACCAACGAGTGGCTTCCCGCATACATACTTCCTGGAACACAAGCACTCATACAGCACCTTGACATGTCACCAACAAGTGGCTTCCCACACACATACTTCCTGGAACACAAGCACTCATACAGCACCTTGACATGTTACCAACAAGTGGCTTCCCACACACATACTTCCTGGAACACAAGCACTCATACAGCACCTTGACATGTTACCAACAAGTGGCTTCCTGCACACACACTTCGTGGAACACAAGCACTCATACAGCACCTTGACATGTCACCAATGACTGGCTTCCCGCACACACACTTCCTGGAACAAAAGCACTCATACAGCACCTTGACATGTCACCAATGACTGGCTTCCCGCACACACACTTCCTGGAACACAAGCGATCATACAGCACCTTGACACGTCACCAATGACTGGCTTCCCGCACACACACTTCGTGGAACACAAGCACTCATACAGCACCATGACATGTCACCAACAAGTGGCTTCCCACACACACACTTCTTGGAACACAAGCACTCATACAGCACCTTGACATGTTACCAATGACTGGCTTCCCGCACACACACTTCCTGGAACAAAAGCACTCATACAGCACCTTGACACGTCACCAATGACTGGCTTCCCGCACACACACTTCGTGGAACACAAGCACTCATACAGCACCTTGACATGTCACCAACAAGTGGCTTCCCACACACACACTTCCTGGAACACAAGCACTCATACAGCACCTTGACACGTCACCAATGACTGGCTTCCCCGCACACACACTTCGTGGAACACAAGCACTCATACAGCACCATGACATGTCACCAACAAGTGGCTTCCCACACACACACTTCTTGGAACACAAGCACTCATACAGCACCTTGACATGTTACCAATGACTGGCTTCCCGCACACACACTTCCTGGAACAAAAGCACTCATACAGCACCTTGACACGTCACCAATGACTGGCTTCCCGCACACACACTTCGTGGAACACAAGCACTCATACAGCACCTTGACATGTCACCAACAAGTGGCTTCCCACACACACACTTCCTGGAACACAAGCACTCATACAGCACCTTGACATGTTACCAATGACTGGCTTCCCTCACACACACTTCCTGGAACAAAAGCACTCATACAGCACCTTGACATGTCACCAATGACTGGCTTCCCGCACACACACTTCCTGGAACACAAGCGATCATACAGCACCTTGACACGTCACCAATGACTGGCTTCCCGCACACACACTTCCTGGAACACAAGCACTCATACAGCACCTTGACATGTCACCAATGACTGGCTTCCCGCACACACACTTCCTGGAACAAAAGCACTCATACAGCACCTTGACACGTCACCAATGACTGGCTTCCCACACACACACTTCCTGGAACACAAGCGATCATACAGCACCTTGACATGTCACCAATGACTGGCTTCCCGCACACACACTTCGTGGAACACAAGCGATCATACAGCACCTTGACACGTCACCAATGACTGGCTTCCCGCACACACACTTCGTGGAACACAAGCGATCATACAGCACCTTGACATGTTACCAATGACTGGCTTCCCGCACACACACTTCCTGGAATAAAAGCACTCATACAGCACCTTGACACGTCACCAATGACTGGCTTCCCGCACACACACTTCCTGGAACACAAGCGATCATACACAACCTTGACATGGCACCAACGAGTGGCTTCCCGCATACATACTTCCTGGAACACAAGCACTCATACAGCACCTTGACATGTCACCAACAAGTGGCTTCCCACACACATACTTCCTGGAACACAAGCACTCATACAGCACCTTGACATGTTACCAACAAGTGGCTTCCCACACACATACTTCCTGGAACACAAGCACTCATACAGCACCTTGACATGTTACCAACAAGTGGCTTCCTGCACACACACTTCGTGGAACACAAGCACTCATACAGCACCTTGACATGTCACCAATGACTGGCTTCCCGCACACACACTTCGTGGAACACAAGCACTCATACAGCACCATGACATGTCACCAACAAGTGGCTTCCCACACACACACTTCTTGGAACACAAGCACTCATACAGCACCTTGACATGTTACCAATGACTGGCTTCCCGCACACACACTTCCTGGAACAAAAGCACTCATACAGCACCTTGACACGTCACCAATGACTGGCTTCCCGCACACACACTTCATGGAACACAAGCACTCATACAGCACCTTGACATGTCACCAACAAGTGGCTTCCCACACACATACTTCCTGGAACACAAGCACTCATACAGCACCTTGACATGTTACCAATGACTGGCTTCCCGCACACACACTTCCTGGAACAAAAGCACTCATACAGCACCTTGACATGTCACCAATGACTGGCTTCCCGCACACACACTTCCTGGAACACAAGCGATCATACAGCACCTTGACATGTCACCAACGAGTGGCTTCCCACATACATACTTCCTGGAACACAAGCACTCATACAGCACCTTGACATGTCACCAACGAGTGGCTTCCCACATACATACTTCCTGGAACACAAGCACTCATACAGCACCTTGACATGTCACCAACAAGTGGCTTCCCACACACATACTTCCTGGAACACAAGCACTCATACAGCACCTTGACATGTTACCAACAAGTGGCTTCCTGCACACACACTTCGTGGAACACAAGCACTCATACAGCACCTTGACACGTCACCAATGACTGGCTTCCCGCACACACACTTCGTGGAACACAAGCACTCATACAGCACCTTGACATGTCACCAATGACTGGCTTCCCGCACACATACATCCTGGAACACAAGCACTCATACAGCACCTTGACATGTCACCAACAAGTTGCTTCCCACACACATACTTCCTGGAACACAACCACTCATACGGCACCTTGACATGTTACCAACAAGTGGCTTCCCACACACATACTTCACTGACCTGGCATGTAACTAGCCACACTGACCAGCTGATCCAGGCCATAGGGGCACCATGACATGTAATTAGCCACAGTGACCAGCTGATCCACCCTATAGGGGCATCATGACATATAACTAGCCACGCTGACCAGCTGATCCAGGCCATAGGGGCACCATGACATGTAACTAGCCACACTGACCAGCTGATCCAGGCCATAGGGGCACCATGACATGTAACTAGCCACACTGACCAGCTGATCCACGCCATAGGGGCACCATGGCATATAACTAGCCACGCTGACCAGCTGATCCAGGCCATAGGGGCACCATGACATGTAACTAGCCACAGTGACCAGCTGATCCAGGCCATAGGGGCACCATGGCATGTAACTAGCCACACTGACCAGCTGATCCAGGCCATAGGGGCACCATGACATGTAACTAGCCACAGTGACCAGCTGATCCAGGCCATAGGGGCATCGTGACATGTAACTAGCCACACTGACCAGCTGATCCAGGCCATTGGGGCACCATGACATGTAACTAGCAACACTGACCAGCTGATCCACACCATAGGGGCACCATGACATGTAACTAGCCACACTGACCAGCTGATCCAGGCCATAGGGGCACCATGGCATGTAATTTTGAATATAGTGAACTGCGTCTAAAAGCAGGAAACAATACAAGAATCACTTCACTTACTGGAACACTGTGACAGTCTCCACGAGCATTGCTGGCATTTGGGTCTCTTTTACTGCCTTACCATCGCTGTAATCATAAAATGGACACATGAAAAACACGAAATGTCTTTTTTAAGCCGCACTCAACAATAATTCCAGAGGTCTGTAGCTAATTAAGTATGAACCAGTCAGTTCAGTGATTGATACCATGAGAATGGAATACAATATTTTGTTACTTTCTTTTTCACTCATCTTAAATAAGACAAAAATATGTGCAAGCCCATCTTTGACAATTAGACAGCAGAATCTTGCTCACCTGGTTTTCCCAGCTGTGCCACTCGTTCCTGCAACACAAATCAGGAAACCATGGTAACACAAAGCAAAATGTTTAATAGGATGAAGCAAAAGGCAGTAACATGAATTTTAGACAGTAGACAAATTGAAATTTAGGTCACCTTGGCGACCATTTTAGTCACAACTTTTAGGCCTGGGATACGATACTTGTATCATGGCAGAGAAGTCATGGAATTGTGATGCACCGAAAGTTTAGTGAATCCTTACACCCCAATATGAATGTGTGAGTTAGTTGGGTCTTAACACATCTTTGAAAGGTATTCCAGTTATATCACTACATGTCAGCTAAATATGGGAGGAAAGCCTGAAGTGATGCAGGTCTGAGACATTTACCACTTTGGTTAAACCCCAAAGTATGGATATGGTGCTGACAATCCTCGAAATATAATCAGGGTGAACTGGGATTCAAACCCACAATGGTACGCAACACTGCACAGCGAATTGAGGCGCCTTAGATGACTGGGCCACCCGTGCCCACTGCAACCCAATTTGAACTTAACCATGAACAATGATGAAAGACAGTTATAACATTTCGATCAGTAATTGGATAAAACAGCATACATATACTTATCATGCATAATGGATCACTCATTACTAACTGCTTTCAACTTACCTCCAGATGCTGTTGATGTTTTGGGATCAACACCTCCAAGGCCGACTGTCGCTGCAGTTGTAGTTGCAGCAGAGAAGATGCTGGCTGGGGCCGCAGTGGCAGCCGCAGCAGTAGGTCCGAACAACCCCAGGCCAGTGCTGGCTGTTGTGGCCGTGGTCAATCCCCCTACAAACAGAACATCACTTGTCATTTACTCCATCAGAGGCACTGAGGTCCATGGAAGGACTCCGATACATGGACGGTCTGAGATCTATGGTAGGTCTAAGATCCATGGACAGAAATCAGATCCATGACAGTTCTCTGATCCATAGATCCGTATACACCAAGGTATTTCATGTACTACTTGCGGTGGTGCCACTGCCTTGGTAGCTGTAGATCCATATACACCAAGGTATTTCATGTAATACATGTGGTGGTGCCACTTCCTTGGTAGCTGTAGATCCGTATACACCAAGGTATTTCATGTACTACATGTGGTAGTGCCACTTCCTTGGTAGCTGCAGATCCGTATACACCAAGGTATTTCATGTACTACATATGGTGGTGCCACTTGCCTTGTAGCTGTAGATCCGTATACACCAACGTATTTCATGTACTACATGTGGTGGTGCCACTTCCTTGGTAGCTGTAGATCCGTATACACCAAGGTATTTCATGTACTACATGTGGTAGTGCCACTTCCTTGGTAGCTGCAGATCCGTATACACCAAGGTATTTCATGTACTACATGTGGTGGTGCCACTTGCTTGGTAGCTGTAGATCTGTATACACCAACGTATTTCATGTACTACATGTGGTGGTGCCACTTGCTTGGTAGCTGTAGATCCGTATACACCAAGGTATTTCATGTACTACATGTGGTGGTGCCACTTGCTTGGTAGCTGTAGATCAGTATACACCAAGGTATTTCATGTACTACATGTGGTGGTGCCACTTCCTTGGTAGCTGCAGATCCGTATACACCAAGGTATTTCATGTACTACATGTGGTGGTGCCACTTGCTTGGTAGCTGTAGATCAGTATACACCAAGGTATTTCATGTACTACATGTGGTGGTGCCACTTCCTTGGTAGCTGTAGTTCCGTATACACCAACCATAACAACAAATAAAAAGTAAAGTTTGAGATATGACTGATTTGGATTTTCTTTAACCTAATAATTTAAGAAAAAGAGACTTTCACATTACCATGTGTAAATTACTTCCACTCATGATCAAAAGAAAAAACAATTTGAACAGCATTTTATTGATATGGTAAATACAATCGAAACTATCGATATTCCTAACTGAAATCAAGACTTTTGATCAGAAACTGATTTAACAATCGATTTATTGGCTTTAAGTCCTTACCAACAGCAATATATCGATATTTCGATTTATCGTGACACCCCTAATCTATAGCATGTTCTCCACTAACAGAACCAAGCCAGCGTAGTAGACATAGAGTACGAGAAGCCAGTCAGAAGATGTTTCAATTCAAGTCTAACTCACCACCACCAAACTTTTGACTTGTATTAAATGGTGCAGCATCCACAGCAAGGGTCCCAACTGGCTTCCCTTAACCAGAAACATAGGTTTACACTGTGGCTATTGGAAATCTGTCACTATAGCAGAAACCTCTTTCTCTCCAATTAATGCCGATCTTATTTGTTATGTTTACCTCTTTTGGAATTATGAAAATTCAATTTGTATGAGGATCTCATTGTGTTTGTTATTTTATGCTGCAATCAGTGGTATTCCTGTTAAATCACAGTGGAACCACTGTGCCTTCAGAGAGAACAGAGAGGTGCTGGCCCTGTTGTAAAAAATAATCTTAGCGCTAATACTATTGTAACTCCCATGCTTTAACAAAGACTTCCGATAATTGTAGCGCTAAGACGCTTTGTACAACAGGGCCAAGATGAAAACTCCTATGGCCGCCTAGTTATGTCTAATCATAGTGTTTTAACTCTCTTAAGTTTATGTCTGGGAGATACAACAGTGGTGGTGGGAAGTATGCATACCTAGTGTAGGTGCCACACTGGTCGGTTTGCCGAAACTGAAGCCGCCGGCAGGAGCCGCCCCAACTGCAGCACCTAGACCCAGACCTGTAATGGGAGCTGCAACTGTAGATGTAGCTGGAGTTGTTGTCGTTGCCCCAAGGCCAAAGCTAAATCCACCTGCAGCACTTGTGCCTGCTGAAATAACACAAGCACACATGCTCACTGACTGCTGAAATAACACAAGCACACATGCTCACTGACTGCTGAAATAACACAAGCACACGTGCTCACTGACTGCTGAAATAACCAATACAACCACATGCTTTCCGTTGAAACAAATCAACCACATATGCTCTCTGATGACACAATACAACCACACATGCTCTCCGTTGAAATAATACAACCACATGCTCACTGACTGCTGGAATAATACAACCAAATGCTCTCTAACAAAGCAATACAACCAAATGCTCTCGAACAAAACAATACAACCAAATGCTCTCTGCTGAAATAATACAACCACATACTCACTGACTGCTGAATCAATACAACCACATGATCACTGACTTCTGATACCATACAACCACATGATGTCTTATGAAACAATACAACCACATGCTGGTAGGCTGGTTAAAGGAGAGGAAGAGAAAGACAGCCCTACCTCCTCCCAAAGCTGGCACAGTCGCTGTCGTTGTTGCTGCCCCCGGAACAGTGAGGGAGAAGCCCCCTGATGCCCCCAGCGATGGAGCAGAGGTAGTAGCAGTTGTACCCCCCAGCGTCCCCGGGAACCCCACAGTGCCACCGAGGGAGAACCCACCCCCGGTGGCCTGAGTGGTGGTTCCAAGTGTGACGCCTGTTGCCGTGGTCCTTGCAGCAGTGGCTCCGAAGCCAAAGCCCGATGCTGCAGGTTGTCCAAATCCTATTCCAGTTGCAGCTGCAAGTAGAGAGAATATGCCATGGCATTCCACACATTTGTCACATGGTATATATTTAATTTATAACTATTTTCTCGGGTTAAGAGCAATAAAATTGAGTATACCATCTTATTTTTTTTGTGTTTAAATAAAGCAACAAAGCCCTTTCCATATCTAATAGAGTTGATTGTGCTGTTAAGACCTGTTACTCCAAGAGTCTAATATTACCGAATTCACTCAGTAATCAGTCTTGTTAATCCGACAGAGAGACATGGTCATCTGCCCGTGAGTTCACATTCCATGTTTTGAAGCGAAACGAGTCGGCTAGTAGCTGCATATTACAATATCTGCAGAGATAAACTTGCTTAACAATAAACAATGCTTTTAAAAAACCAAAACATGATTAATCGCATAAGGACCAGACAATCCAGTGATTGATATTATGAGCAACAATTCATGCTATCGGGGTACGATGACATGCTATCATCCAAGTCATCAAACTGACTATCCGATCCACCTCCTACACCCAGCATAGGTTCCCTGGGGCCTTGTCCAATCCAGAATCCCCAGGGGCTTTCAACATCCTCGAAAATCTTATATTTAGTTATTGACACTATTGAGGCGCATTTGACCTACATAAATACTAATGATCAGTTAGGCTGGTCAAGGCATTGGACTTTTATCAAGGGGAATCTTCGGGTACTTCAGGACAACTCTATAGCATAGTTGGGGGGCACGGGTGGCCCAGTCGTCTAAGGCGCCGCGATTCGCTGTGTAGAGTTGCGTCCCTTAGGCACGCCAGAAACATATGATTGTGGGTTCGAATCCCGGTTCGCCCCGATTATGTTTCTAGGTTAGTCAGCACCGTACCCGTGCTCGTGGGTTTCACCGAAGTGGTAAACGTCTGAGACCTGCATCACTTCGGGCTTTCCTCCCACATTAAGCTGACACGCCGTGATATGACTGGAATACTGTTAAAAGCAGCGTTAAACCAAACTCACTCACTCACTATAGCATAGTTAAACTTCTAACATTCAAGGCCCATTGCCTTTATTGCAACATTGATGTGTTTAGCCAATATCAAACACTGGTACACTAATGAAACCATGAAATACTTACCAGTAGTTGCTGCAGGGGTAGTACCAAAGTTAAATCTGAAAAAGAACACCTTTCATAAGTTTCTACTGACACAAACCTCAGCATTTTCAGTAGACTTACTCTAGTCTCTGAAATGAAAATATTTTAAAGAAAAAAAAAGTTGTTAAATTATCATGATTATAGTTATAAAATATGATAAAAAGGAGCCAAGAGACATTCTTCATTTTCAGACTGATACTGCAGTAATCTAGACTTGGCAAATATTATAGACTTACATGAGCTGTATTGGATATATTTGTTTCAGGGTCTGTATGACAGACTACACTTTCATGCTACATGCTACATACAGGTACAGAAGTTCACAATAATTGGATCTGAGAACACAATGTTTTGTTACAGTTGTTTTTCTTAAATCTCTTAAGTTGTATACACTGTGAAAATAATAACATATATCACTGATATGTGAAAACTAAGAATAATAATACTCCATTGTCATTCTTGGATGCCAGGGGAGTCTATAACCCAAGCTGCCTCAAGAAAGAGCTAGAAGATCAACAGTCACATTTCATGTCATCCTCCCAGGTACCCATTCACTGCTGGTTGTACAGAAGCATATTTCGAACAAAGTCACTTACTTATAACTTTTATTTATCCATTGCTAAGGAGACACCACATGTTACATGGCCCTCTGATGTTTGATTAGCAAAGCAATGTACTGCAACGAGTATATACATGGCTGAAGCCAATCCAAGCTGTATTCCGCAGCATCAAAATAAAGATTCTGCAGGCAATTGTTGAAAATTCTGCACAAAATTCTGTGCTCCTTATAATATATCAATAATTCCTAGTCTTGCACCTGTGCCAATTGTTGCAGGCATTTTACTGACAAACTTATCCATGGCTAGAATGTTTTTACAAGTAAATCTGGCAATCACTCCTGTGTACATACAAACACACACTTACAGTAATCAATAATACAAAAATCAACTTCGCTTCAAAATGGAAATCAGGATATTGATTGTTTGTAAATTGTTTGTTCTTATTTCCACACAACATGACATAACACAACGCCTCAAATAATTATTTGGAATGATTTAATACAAAGCAAATACTTAGTTTCAGTAAACCAACACAACTTTTACATAGTTGGATCCAGCTTGGGACTCGTATATTAACATGATTAAAATTCCACAGGTCCTTGGTAAACAGTAAACTATGGTTATAACGAACACAAAAGGACCACTTGTTATGTTCTTCGTTGCAATACACGGGAGTAGTGCACTTTACCGAGCACTTTTTCAGATCAAATTAGCGCTGTGGGGGCTCGAACGCTCTTCGCCGGCTCACCGGCTCTGCTAATTAATGCGTTAATTAGCCGACGCTCTACCACTGGACCACAAGCGCTATCACATGTAATCAGTGCTCGTTTAACGGGTCATTAGAATCACCATCGACTTGCATGCGTAATTCAGTAAACAATGAATTGTGCATGCGTGTGACGTCACGGTCCGCTCTCCCATTCATCTTTTCTTGAAACTACACCCACAATTGTTTATGTCAACATGACCGACCAATGGGATTAACCGAATTAACGCTTGAAAAGGTAAGAATTTATGGCTAACCCTTGCCCAAAGCAAGCTAACCATAATGACCGAAAAGGGGTTTTGGATCGTAAAGACGTGTAAGTTTCCCCAAGACCGAAAACAGGTGTTGGATCGTAAAGATGTGTAAGTTTCCCTAAGACCTAGAACGGGTGTTTGATCGTAAAGATGTGTTAGTTTCCCTAAGACCGAGAATGGGTGTTGATTGTAAAGATGTGTAAGTTTCCCTAAGACCGAAAACGGGTGCTGGATCGTGAAGCGAGAGTCACCAGAGCGTGAGGCATGGGAACGGTATAACGAGACAGCAGTGGCACTATAGCGCGGTAACTGAGCGGATGGTAGAGCTCGGGCTGTGCCCGGTAAACTGCATTGTGGCCCAAAACACTAATCCTATTAACAGACGATCTGTGGTTATCTCCGATCTGTGATTATCTCCGATCTGTTAATTATTCCTCAAAGCTGAAACATTGAAATTTATAGTTACGATTTTTATAGTTTTTTAACGTTAATCAGTATAGGACGGGATTTCTAATATATCGTTATGTTGTGAAGTTAGTGTTCAACGAGGAACGAACATGGTCACGGGAAAAAGCCTATACTTGGTGTCAAAAGAAAGTGTGCAGCAGGTGCCCCTTGTGATCGAAAACCGAACGATTCGCGATGTCGAAATAAAATCATCTATAGGAGGTTATGTTTATGAAACATATGTAAACATTTGGTTTGGCCAATGTGTGTTGATAAACCATGTTCGCTTAAAGACAAACATATTAAACTGAATTACCCTCCTGCAGGCGAACCAGTTTGACCAGCACCAAACGTGAATCCAGTCGCCATTTTGGCGCTTTAAAAGGTGAAGGACGTTCACGACTGTTGAGCAATAATGAATTGATGAATGCAACATTTATTTGTTTAAATACCAAATCACTCTGACTTTTTAGTAAAGATGTTCAGAAGTAATGATAGTTTTAAAAAATAATACGAAAAATTAAGCACTGGGGAGGTGTCATGGCGCTGTCTGCTACAGAAGAATAAGGAAGCAAGACATCGCCTGCCATCATGGACTGTATAAGGACTCCAAAGGTACGGTCATAAATATGATGACAATATATTAAACAGCGTGGGAATTTATTTGTCCATAATTTTAATTCATTTGAGACCTATTCCAAGCTTTCTCAGAGGCGAGATGCGTCAGGTGATATCTTGTTTTGGTTGGATGGGCTGATCAACTAATCTATGCTGCCAATGACGGAATCCAAATATAAGGCTGTTCTTTTCGTATTTTATGATAATGATGTCCTAATGCCGTAGCAGTCCCGGCTACGTTGGTAGTGGTGATGCCACCGGAAATGAAGGTAAGGAGGTTGTAGAATGGGGTGACATGCCTTCTTCATCAATTTGGAACACGTTCTAAATTCCTGGCAATTCCTGTACCTCCCCACGAACGGTCGGCTGCAGACGTTTTGTCGTCTGCAACACGGTTTTCATCCAAAGGAGCGATAAAGGCCAGATGTCGGTTTTAATGAGGGTAAATTTGTGATTTTATGATTAAACTGTTGAAGTGACTGGTAGGGGCCATTTAAATAATCATTTCAGCAAGTCTAAAAAACTAATTAATATCTCTGTCAAATGCATTATTTTCGCAATGGTCTGCGGGACAGTGCAGATAAGAATCACTTCCTCTTCTTTCAAGTAAAAAAAAAAATCAATAGAGTTTTACTTGTTAAAATAAATCAACAAGTGATTTAAATTGCATGCAATATTGATGACTCTGTGATGAAATAAGATCTTTGATTACATGTAGTATTATTTGTAATGAGAATGTAACAGTGAACACGGTCGATTCAGTAATCATAAGCTGTGAAAGTGTATATTGAAATATATTAATATTTTACCAATTTTATTGCTGCTGTGAAATGTTTGTCAGATTAATGATCAGATCAATTACCAGTATGTGTGAATAATTATTGTGTTATTATTTGACATTCACAAACTTTTCTGCATGAATCCCTGACAGTTTTATCAAAACTCTGATGAAATGTGTTTAAAGAATGTCTTTTGTTATTTATCTTTAATTAGCTGGAAGATGATATCCACAACTGTTGACAGCAGATTTATTTAATTCTCTTATGAACCATTACGACAAAGCATGTTGATTAGGTTGTACCTTTATCATTGTTTACAAGTCTTTGCCTTGTAAATTTTCTCGTAAAATGAATTGATAACAGCCAAGGCATAAACTTGTATATTTTGTGTTCGTTGATGCCAGTAGAGGTGAGCTGAAGTAACATTGTTAAATGTCTCGTTCAAGATTATTGCACTTACATATAGCGACTAATGCCGGTTTTATAGTGCTAGCCCACTGAGGTACCATGCCGCAGTTTAACATGGATACCCCACTCAGACTTTGTATACTGACTCTGAGCCAACAAGTCCTTGTTTTCTATCATTAATGCTGAGCGCCAGGCAAGGTAACAACAAGAACCATCTTTGAAGGTCTTTTGGTATGATCGAACAACTGACCTTCCGCCAGTAGACTTAGCATGTAGAGACAGGAAATATAACCTGTAGGCACTATGATTTTGACGTATGTCTTAGCTTTGCACCCATGTGCACTAGTACTGGTGATTCATCAAACAATGACCCAAATCATTACTTAATGTGAGATACATAATGTGCAAAAATGGGAAGAAATTAATCAGCAACTATAATAAAACTTTCTTGCTTTTCACCAAGTTGTTATTTATAAGTATGGATAAGTTTGATGATTCTCTGTTAAATATCGACCAATCAGTGATCACAAACAGGAAAACACCATGAAGCAACAGGCAAATAATATCTGGACTATGACTTACGAAAGTCAAATTATGGCAATATGACATGTGTATTGGGGCGGTGGGGTTGTAACGCCCAAGGCCCAGGATCGATTCCCCACATGGGGACAATCCCAGGAGGAACATGACATAGTTTAAATGTTGAAGTTTGTTTATCTGAAGTTGCTACGTTGAAAAACACTGTATTTACATTTTTTTTAACATTGGCCTTTTGATATTTGAACATATTTTGAAATCTGACATTGTTTCAACATTGGAAAGTAATCTTAGTTCAACATTTCATAAAAAACATACATTGAGCGAATTCTTTATTTTTGGTGAAAAAATAACAAGGACTAAATTTTCATGGACCCAGACACTGGTAAAGAGAGTATTATTTAGCCTTTCACATTCTGCTACGAACGTGTCTTGTTTATCAACTGATATGAACTCTATTTATTGTATTGCATCTGTCCAGTCTAGACACTCCATTAATATTATAAGAACTGCTGTAGTCGAAATAGAAACTTAGTTTTGGAATCACATGGCCGTATTGGGGTTTGGTGTCATGACCAGAAGATCGTTACAAAATACTTATTAAAATTTGGCAAAGTTGTTAACTGTGTAATGGGCTGAAGATGCTGA